ATCTTAGAATCTGTTTACAAAGGCTATGGGCACCCTTGTATTTCAGGCACAGATTCTTTTTTTTTTTTTTTTTTGCAGTTATAACACCGAGGTATGGGGATCCAAACCCTTGACCTTTGTGTTTCAACATGGTGCTTTAACCAGATGAGCTAACCAGCCATCCAGGCACTGGTTCTAATGCAAGATTGGTGCATTACAAAAGTGCCTGTCTATGGAGGCACCCTTTTGGCACATCCTGTTCCTTCATTTTCCCACCCTTTTTCAGGCACAGATTTTTTTTTTTTTTTTTTTTTTGCAGTTATAACACCGAGGTATGGGGATCCAAACCCTTGACCTTTGTGTTTCAACATGGTGCTTTAACCAGATGAGCTAACCAGCCATCCAGGCACTGGTTCTAATGCAAGATTGGTGCATTACAAAAGTGCCTGTCTATGGAGGCACCCTTTTGGCACATCCTGTTCCTTCATTTTCCCACCCTCAAATTCAGCAAGAATCTGCAATAGAGGAAAGAACGCTATACTTGGAGTCAAAAGGCTGGCATTCGAGTCCTGGTTTGCTCATTAGCATCTGTGAGTCCTCAATCTCAGCTTCTTTCCCCATAACGTGGAGGGTATTTGGGTTCACTTCTGAGGCCTCATCTCTTGCTAATGTCATGCATTGCTTTGCTCATCCTGGCTGGGGGCAGTAGGAGGGAGTGGCTGAGATAATAAACCTGGGTTCAGAGAGACTAGGGTTAACTTCCAGCCTCTCGTCCTTATAGGGAGGCAGTAGTTAGGTGTATAGCCACGAGAGTCAGACTACCTGGTTTGAGTCCTGGCTCTGTCACTTGCTAGCTGTGTGACTTGGGCGAGTTTTTTAACCTTCCTGAGTCTCCGTTTCTTCATCTGTAAAGAGGGAATACAGATATTACCTACCTCATGAGACTGTTATGAGAATTGAGGTAAATTATGTTAAACAGCACAATTCCTGGCACATAGTAAGTGCTTAATGAATGTTAGCTCTAATAGTAATAATGTTAACAATTATATTAATGCCCAGTTAGGTACCGTTTTTATAGAAATTATATTTATTGGGGCCATTTTCCCTACTGTCTTACTCTGGCATTGTTGCCGTCTCTCTTTCCATTGCCTTATCAGGAAACTTTGAAGTATTAGACTTTTGCATCACAGGGTTGCAAAGCATGACATGACAGAAAGTGCCTGTAGGAAAAGGGTCAATAAAAAGTCATTGGCTTGTTAGAAAATCTTACCTGACTCGTGTTTTCACCCGCCTCATGCCACAGTCAACAGGAACAGAGCAGTGTGTTTATTGCCTTTTGCACAGCCTTTAACAGAAGTGCTAAGCAAGACCCTTCCAATTCACTTGCCAAAAAGTATAACAGTATATCTCTGGAAAATGGTGCTTAATTTGGTTCTTTTTTCTCCCCAGCTTAAACCCCTCTGGCCTTAACTTAAGCCATTTCTTCTAGTTCCATTTTCTATGAATATGGAAAAGTTCCTTCTGATTATAAAGGGAGGATGAGATCAAGATTTTCTCATGAAAACCTTTTGTGTACTTAAAGCCAGAATCCTCAGCCAGTTAGGCCTCATCTTCTCTTCTCCAGGCTAAACAGCCTTGGTTTCTTTTACCTCCCTCTTAAAACCTATTTTCCGTTGCTTGGATCACATTGGTCATGCTTCTTTTCTTTCTCTCCGGTTTCTCTACTTCCTGGCAGTGACCCAGACTGTGCTCAGTCTGCTAATAAGAGTCCAACTAAAACAACTTAAGGGAAAAATAACTTCACATGTTTCCATTCATTCACTAGCATTTATTGAGTGGTTGTCCTACCCCAGGGCCTGTGCTAGGTGTAAGGGACCCAGAGATGAATCAGACATAGTCTCTACCCTATCCCTAGCTCACAGTCTAGGGGGAGATGTATAATAAAATGTTACAGGTACTGCGATTGAATTATGTGCAAGTATGGAAAGCTGGAAATTGTTTAGAGCAGTCAGGTAGAAATAGACCATCCCTTTTGACTGGACTGCAGGTTAAGACTTCTGTAGGGGAGTGGTAAGAAATAACGAATGAGCAGTGGTCTGGGGCAAGATTAAGGAGGCCCTGAGTGACAGCACAAAAACTTGGTAATTCCAGAGGCAGTGGACACCTGTTAGAGTTTCAGAGCACGGAAGTAACAGGCTCAGACCTGGCTTTTTGGACCAAGGACAAAGATACCATAAGCCTAAGTCTTATTTGTGCCCCATTGATGTTTTTTATCTTGAAAGTAATGTGATAAATCCCTTGTTTGTATACTTGGAGATGGTTTTTTGTTTGTTGTGTTTTGCTCTAAAACTTCTATAGAAAGTCTAGTTCTTAAGCTCCACAGAAATTTGTTTCCCAATACAGCAGGGAATTCATGAAGAATTGAGAGAGAATTGGGCGCCTAGCCAGGCCCAGCCTATTTAAGACCCAGCTGCAGGGCAGTCTGTGTAGGTTTGGTCTGGCCACAGTCACCGTTCCCCACCCCAGCCCTATACCAGGAGGAGGTGCAGGAATGAGGAGAGGGTTCCAGGGCTCAGCTGGGTATGTGGTAAGGAATGCTAGCAAGGCTTAGGCACTGTGAGAGTCAGAAGTTCTTGCTGAGGAGGAAAGAGGCCCAAAGGAATTGGGAACGGGGCTCGAAGGAATCAGGGCTCACCAGACACTTAGAATCCTGTGTCATGTATTTGAAAACTTGCAAATTCTCTCTGCCTTTGTACTTTGCTGTCAGATTATTCCCTCCTGCTACCCAGTTGTGGTTTACAGAGTGTCTGGGTTGCTTTCCAGAGCCACAGTTGATCTGGGTAAGCATATCACAAGGTAGAGTAATAGTTACTAGTTATAGAGTGCCTACTGTATGCCAGGCATTGGTGCCATGAGCTCGTTACACATTAGCTTATTAATTCTCAAAACAACCCTATGATGTAGGTATTACCACCCCCATTTTGTAGACAATGAAGCACAGAGATTAAGTATTGTGTCCAAGGCTACCTCGCTAGTAAATGGTAGGGCCAGAATCTGAATCTAGGACCTAATATTCAAAAGCCCATATGCTTTCTACTTCCCTAGCCCTAGGGTGGCTCCGGCTAGCAGAATAACATAACGTCCATAAAGGAATTCTGAGATTTTTTTTTTTTTTTAATTATTATAGACCAGAGGTTGGCAAACTGGTTCAACACCTGTTTATGTACGGACTGCAAGCTGAGTGCTTTTTACATTTTTCAGTGGTGGGGGGAAAATCAGGAGAAGATTAATATTTTGTGACATATGAAAATTCACGTTTCTGTATTCATAAAGTTTGATTGGCATACAGCTACCATCCTTTATTTACATCTTGTCTGTGGCTGTTTTTACTTTACAAAGGCAAAATTGAGTAGTTGCAACAAGGATCATGTGACATTGAAAGTGTAAAATACTTATTGTCTAGCCCTGTACAGAAAAAATTTGCCAGCCCCTACTATAGAAGGAACCAAATGGGGTCTACAGTAAGATTAAAGGCAAAGGGTTAAAGTTCAAGGGTGTTCAAGGTTGTCCCTGGAAGTGCCGTGGTGACAGTAAGGAGAGGGAGTGTTACCCAAGTTTCCTTGGGCCCTCGAGATCACTTGGCCTTAGAGATTTGTTTAGGAATGAAAAGCATAGTAGGAAGGACTATCCAATGTGCTAATGTCTCTGTTGGACAATAAAGAGATATTTTGTGGATGACGTAATTCATTCAGATTCACTGGAGCCCTTTTTTGTGCCAGATTCTATGTTAGATGCTGGTAATACACAGATGGAAAAGGTGCATCCCTTCCTTTAGGAGCTTATGGCCTAGTGGGAGTGCCGCATGTGCATGTGTACAGCCTGCTCCAGTGTTGTAATGGTATGCTGTGGGTTCCAGTCAGTGCTGGAGGAAGTAACAGGAGTCAGGGCTGCTTCTGTAATTTGCAGGACTACTTTGAGTAATTTGCTGATGGGTCTTGAAGGATGAATAGAAGTTATTTTTCAAAGAGCTATGTACCTGGCTAAGGGAAAGCCTGATAGCATTTGGAGCTTATGAGGACAGACGAGAAAGACGCATTAGAAATGACTTAAAGGTTCTGTGGCTGGCTGACTGGCAGAATGACGTAATTTGATGGGGAAAAAGAGAAATCAGGAGGAAGGAGGCAGTTGGTAGGGGGTGGGGACAAGTCCAGTTTGGGACATGTGGTTTGAGGTACTGGTGAAACACATCAACCTTCTAGTTAGAAAGTCTTTTTAGAAATCTAGACACCAATGCCCAGATTTAAACTGCATTTTCAGAGGTTTTCTACTTGGAAAAGAGGAAATGCATATTCATTTTGTAGAGAAGTTGACAAAGCAATTTTGACGTGATAGCTAGAGCCACAGGATTAAAAATAGCAGTGGACCTACAAAAAATTAAGTCATCCGATTGAAAACTAGCAATAATTATGTATTTGGCACAAAACCTTGTTCCCGTTCATGCCCCCTGCTGCTCTCAGCATCTACTTTATCCTTCTGGCTCTGTGAGACTTGGGCCTGGCCGCTAGGAGTCGGAGCCAGAGCTCATTCATCTCTAAAACAGTAGGCAGCAGAGAAGTGTCAGCTTTTACCTTCTGCAGGAGACTGCTCAGAGCAAACAGAAGTGCCCATCTCTGTCATCCACGCCTAGTTATGTCTTTGGGGGCCCGGAATCCCACAATGGAAACAGAATCTGAAAAATTTTACTCAAACCCTTGTTAAATCTTCAAATGCTTAACATCAGCATCTTCAAATACTTAGAAATGCCTGATTTGGAAGACTGGGGAAATCTGTGATTGCCTCATGTATATCTACTTAACTGGTAAAGCTCATAGGGTTGGGGCACATTGGGGTTGATCTCTATCTTCTCTTGTCCTCTTAAAGAAGTCAGCATTTCCATATCCTTTCTACTTCTGCTTTTTGAAGATTTTTGTGTCAGATATGATGATGGAGAACTGAAGAACATCAGCTACGTACGGAGGCCATTGAAACACTTCCTGTAGCCAGAGACCCCAAACTCCTGACAGGAGCATTATTTCATTTGGAATTTCAGCATTAAAGAGGATCACTTCTCAAAAATTAGGAAAACCTATAGGTAAGATTTGGGTATACATTTTACTTATCCTCTTAGACTACTACGAATTGAAATTATCTGATATTTCCAGAAGAAAACAGGGCTCAGAGGTTGTCTAAGCAGATCGTGGTTTTCAGTATTTAGTTGGACAGCTAGAATTAGCTTGTGCCTGGCACGCCTAAGATAGATAGATAGTTAAAGGGGACCACATTTCTACCAGAATAAAAAACGGCAGAGGGTCATACGGAAAACCATGCAGTAAGTAAAACATACCTGTTTACTTTCAATTACAAAAATAAAATAACCACATTGTAACAAAACAAAATCAAATACAACAGAAGTATAAAAAGTGAAATTCTTGCACCCACTTAATTTCATTCTCCCCAAGTAACCACTGTTAATAATTTTCAATGTATTTTTTCAGATTTTTTTAAGATTATATTGACATATATGATGACATTTTGAAATGATCTGTGCCACACTCTAACAAATAATGCCTCATTTGTAGATTTGGGTCAGGTGGGGGCTGGGTGAGAATGGTATTAGCCTGAGTTGTGAGGTTTTTTTTTTGAAGTTGAACTCTTTTTTCCATTTTTATTCATAATTTGTATTTCTCCTTCTGTTTAGTTATCTATTGTTTCTGTTTTGTTTTGTTTTGTTTTGATGCCCAAATCAGGATAATTAGTATATTCAACATTACACATATAATCATATTTTGTGGCCTTTACCAACTTCTCATCAACCATCTCCCCCACCCCACCTCTGGTAACCTCAGTTCTGTTCTCTCCTTTTGAAAGTTCAGCATATTATTGGAATTCTTCCTTCCTTCCTTCCTTCCTTCCTTCCTTCCTTCCTTCCTTCCTTCTCTCTCTCTCTCTCTCTCTCTCTCTTTCTTATTTTTTTATAGGTTTTTTTTTTTTTTTTAGCTCCCATTTATGACTAAGGACATACGGTATTTCTCTTTCTGTGCCTGGCTTATTTCACTTAACATAATCTCTATTGGGCCGACCCCGTGGCTCACTCGGGAGAGTGCGGCGCTGGGAGCGTAGTGGCGCTACCGCCGCGGGTTCAGATCCTATATAGGGATGGCCGGTGTGCTCACTGGCTGAGCACGGTCACAAAAAAGGACAAAAAAAAAAAACTCTATATTCACCTGTATTGCTGCAAATGACAGAATTTTGTTCTTTTTTATGGCAGTGATTGGTGAGTTTTCATAGTCCTTTGCTGCTCTATATCACGCCAGCGTGAGTCAAGGCGGTGGCACCAAACTGTGCGAGTAGCCATTGTATTCTTCACTGTTATGCACTTAGTTTTTAAAAAATGCCATGTCACTTGAGAATGTCCTTGATGAAACCACAAAAATTATTAATTTTATTGAATCTCAACCCTTGAGTACACATCTTTTTACTATTCTGTGTGACAAAATGGAAGTGTTCATGAAGCACTCTGCTGCATGCCAAAGTGCCATGCTTGTCCTAAGGGAAAGCGCTTGTGGGATTGTTTGAATTGCAAGCCGAACTAGCCAGTGTTTTCATTTTTACGTGAAAGAATGACTGACTGTTGGGTTTTGAGGCTGGAAAGTAGACCAGGACCAGGTATTGCAGGGCCTTGGGGGTCATATTAATAAGCTTTGGAGACCTGACCTCAGCTTTATACACTCTACTCACACTCATCAGTCCCTTATTCCTGCTTGCTGTTTCTTCAGCACACACTTCCTTTTCCCCCTTCCATGTCTCCCTCTTGTCATTCCTTCCACCAGGAGATGCAGTGACAGCTCTGAAGTCTACTTGTGATCCCAGAATCAGAACAGAGGGAGAAGATGGGCCTGTTCTAGATCTTTTCCCTCTGGGAATCTCACTCTCCCAGCAATATTGGAGGCCTACTGTGGGTCACCCTGCGGGCACCCTAGCAGGCACCTGCCAGTTTCAAGCTGAGTGAGACTGCAGTCTGCAGGATGCTGCCCAGCTTACTACACGCAGGACTCCTGGGGGAAGAACACCTTAGTCCATTGGAATCTCACTTACACACAGACCACCTTTGATTGAGCTCATTTTACACAAAGCTCCTTTCATCCATCCTGTGTTAAACTTGTTTAGCTTCTGTTTATTTCCTTTCTTTGTTCCTTGCACAGTAACGATACTATCAGAAACCACATAAACCGACCAATAGGTCAGGCAGAAGAAGAATGTAGCCTTGTGCCTGACACCAGCACTGCCATGAAATAACACAGTTGGACATTGGTTTATAGCTCATCTTTCACAATATGACAAAATACAAAGCTATCTCAGAGCAAGAATAAGAAACTTCTGATAAATTATATTTTAGATTAATATGGTAATATTAATGTGTTAATAAAACCTTTGTATTTATGTAAGCTAGAGTCATGCTGCCCAACCTTTTTGACATCATAGCACACGCAGAAAATGATATTGCTCAGCACACTTGAGTAAGCAGTGAACCAGGGACTAGAGGCCTGATCAATATCTCATTCACAGCACATCAGCAGGGAACTCTGTGCTAAGGTTCATAAACAAAAGCATTCTTGTTGGTGCCTGGCTAACTTTTACCAGCTATCCTCTTCTGCCTTTCAGCACTGATATTTAAATACAATGTAATGATTAAAAGCTTGAATTCTGAGCCAGGCCTCTAGATTTGAATGCCACCTCTTCCACTTACTAGCTATGTGGCCATAAGCAAATCACTTAATCTCCTTCTACCTCAGTTTCTTCATCTGTAAAATGTGGATAATAATTATACTTACTGCATAGGGTGGTGGAGATTAAATAAGCCAGTATATGTAAAGTGTAATATTTGTAAAGTGCTTGGAACATTGCCAGTATATGGTAAGCACCATGTAAGAGTGTGTGTGTGTGTGTGTGTGTGTACTATAAATACTACTGGTAGTAGCGTACACTATAACCACTACTACTGCCACTTCAAAGAAGTAAATGTTCTGGAGTCAGTCTCCCCAGGCCCCTCCTCCTTGCCCCCTCTGTGTCCCACATTTCTTAGTCTTGGCCCCTTCCTTAAGAGTATCTGTTCCCCTTCCCTTCCACTCCTCAGTTTCCTTTCATTTCCTCAGCTCTCCATTTGTTTTGGAGCCCTGAGCTAGCTGCTGACTGAGAAGGCAGCTGAGTCGGCAATTATCAGCTTGCTCTCACCACTGCTTCTTCTCTAGAAAGAAAGCTCTGTGGCTAAGGGAAGTAGCTCTTACAGGTTGGGATGAGGAGTGAACTGTAGACCTTGAAAGGAGCCCTAGAGTGGTTGAGAGAGGCTCATGAGCTAAGTTTGCAGAGCTGAGTTAGCCAGCAAAGTCATGTTCTTAGGGGACAGATGATCATGTTTGGTATCACACATCAGATGCGAGAGCTGGTGAGTTCTCTACAGGCTCTGTCAAAATTTGGAGTACAGATCTGGTGACTTTGGGGACAATGTGGCCCATCAGACTTCATGGAGAAATGACACAGTTCTCTCAGAAGGTGAGCCTTGAGATCATCTTGAGGGAAGAACTGTTGATCAGTACTTGCATGTCAAGAATAACAGTTGCTGGACTGTCAGTTGGTTAGAGTGCAGCCTTATAACACCAAGGTCAAATGTTCGGATCCCCGTACTGGCCAGCCACCGAAAATAAAAGGAATATCTGTTGTTATTGTAGTCCCTTTGGGTGAGCCTCCTCAGCCCTTCCTCACCTGTTCTGTGAGTTCTCTGGGCCTCTCCCTGTGCAGGAATGGAGTTGATTCTTGGTTCTGTGTGCTTCACACCTGCTACACTTCCGGTACAATCAGTACTTGTTGACTGACAGGTTTTAAAAAGAAACAAAAACGTGCATCCCTATTTTCATGGAGAAGTCAAGATAAACATATGCCTAGGAACAGAAGCACTTATTATTATTGATGGTGGTGAGACCTCTTATGATCAGATTTGTCATCTCTCTCCCATGTACTCTGTGCTCCAGCCAGCTTAAATAATTGCAGTGGCACTGACCGGCCATGCTGCCTCTGCTGCAGGCCTTAGTACTCACTCTTCCTTGGGCTGCCAGTCTTTCTCTCCAGTCCCACCCTGGCCTGTTCCCACTCCTTCAGGTATCAGCTTAGCTGTCTCTCCTTCTAGTTACTCAGCCTGGTTAGATTCCTCTCTTCTGCTCCACAGCACCTGGTACTTCCATGTCACAGCATTGGTCCTACTAAACTGAAATTGTTTTAGGTGTCAGTAAATTTAAATCTCTCAAGGTCAGAGATTGTGTCTTTTCTTGTATTCTTACTGTCTAGCACCAGATGATCACTAGGTGCCCAATAAATATAATATTATTGACTGAATAACTCAGTGGTGCTTTTGCATCTAGTTTCTTATTTGATCCTCACAACAGCCTTGTGATGTAGGCAGCCCAGGCCTTACTCTTTCCTCATTTCTCTGATACACAGATAAACTGATACTCAGAGAAGCTACGCAACTTGCCAAAGGTCATGCAGTAGTGGAGAACCACTGGCTCTCAGGCTCAAATGCTCAGTGCATTTTTTGATTTGGTTTTACAAGGGATTTCCTTTTGAAAAATAGGATTTTTAAAAAGATAAAAATAAAAATAGCACTTATTGTCATGATATAAAATTAATATCTTCAAGGCATCAGTATTCCTGAAATGGTTTTTCATTACTGAAAGTTGAATTTCAATAGAGAAATCTAGAAACAATTTTTAAAACTGTAATCGAATTCTAAATTTCAATGTGGAAATTGAGACTTTAAGAGGCAAAGAAATTGAGACTTAAGGAGGCAAAGAAACGTAGTCTTGGTGCTGTCTGTTAATATCTGAACCAGGCCTTTTACCTTGGCCTCTGATGCCAGGCCTGTGTGCCTTCTCTGTCAGCAGTGTGCTTCCTCCCACCTCCGCCTCCAGCAATATACATAGACGGTGGGCTGCAGAGCCCTGCCCAAGAGCAAGGCAAAGGCTAGAGACAGCGGAAGTGCTGGGGGCTTCCAGACCAAATGGGTTCTGTCTGAAAACTGAAAAGAAGGCATACCCACATTTCTTTCAGCATGTGCACTTGGTACCTAAAGGGTCCGTGTGACCTGTACTGCACTAACACTTACATGCATCATTTCATATCATTTCCATTCCAGTGCAGTTTCTGATGGCTGATGTGCATGTGACACTGTGCCATGACTTACAGGAGAGACAGAGATGAACAGGGAACAGTTTCGGCATTTAGGAACATGGGGGAGCACTCAAGATCAAGTAAAATAAGGCTCTAATAGAGCCTCTCACAGCATGTTTGGGAGCAGAGGATGGAGCGTCAACTCCTGATTCTGCCCAGCAATACCCTCTATTTGCACAATGCCTAACTGGTTTCCAAAATGTTTGCACAAACCTTAACTCATCTAGAGTTATCAGGGAGCTACAAAGGGGCAGGGACTTTTGAGCTGGGTTTTGATGGCAAGAAGAATCACTAGGCCCAAAGAAGCAGGTGAGCCAAGGCGCATCTTGATTGTAGGGCCTTGCACCCTGAGGAAGCATGTATCCAGCGATTGTGTGCACAATGAATGAAGATCCCACAGACTTGCTAGTAGACTCTCTGTACTAAAGTAGAATGTGTGGCCATCCTCCAGATGGGGAACTATCAACCCCTTGGTGAGATTATGACACCCCTCACACCCACCCCAGGTAAACAGGGAGGTTAAGCATGTTTCTTTCCCTTCACTATCTTCCTACATTTTTCCTTCCTAGTTTCAAAACCAACTCTCCTTCAACAAGTTCTGTTTCCAAGGAAAGTCTTTACCATTTGTCCCTTCCGGCGTACACTCTTCCATTGAAATCAATGCAAAATAGACCAGGTACTCTATCTTTTTGTGTGTGAGCCGTAAAATCTGATATGGAGTGTGCGGCACTGCTCAGAGGTATGCTGGTATGCTGCTTCCACAGGAGGCTCCCTCAGCCCTGCTGTGGTAAAACCAAGTATAAATTGCCACTAACAGGGTTTTCTAGTCAGAAGCTAAGTATGTCTGAGCATCCCCTGTGAATTATAATGCCACCAGCTCTCTTGCCGCTCCTCTGCACTGCCTGCCGTTGGGCTGTTTTGCTTGTCCTGAGGCCCTCCATCAGAGCGTGGACAGGGGAAGGAGAAAGAGCTGGAACCCAAATCTGTCTGCTCTGCACTTGGCTTGCAGTGCTGGTGAGGAAATAGACAGGGACAAGGTTGGCACAAGACCGCACACAGGACAGGCCAAGAGGGACAGGGTGCCTCCTCAGCCTGCTGCTCCCTAAGCTCTCAAAGATGAGTGACGCTGTGTTTTGTTTCTGTAGAATTTCTCACGATGTTCATTAAATGCATTTGGGCAGCTTTTTCCTTTTAACTTACCTTGGTGAGAGTGGGTGTTCCGGTGCTGATGTTTAACTCTGAATTCATAAGGTATTGTAGTCCCCAGATATATCTTGTGCTTGAAGCTGTTGGTTAGAGTAATATTTTGAGGTCCTTTGTGGATTCCTTTCATTTGTGTGTTTATCTGTTCTCCATTCTAAAGTATAATTGAAGATTTGCTGTCATCAGATTCCAAAAATGAGAGGAAGAATGCACCTAAATTGAGCTGTCAGACACATGGCTGCTTAGCCCTGCTTTCTGGATTGTGCTGTTGAAAAGTGCCCTTCTGTGTGCTTTCTGCTAATGGCTGCTGTGTACTTTCCTGACAACTGTGTATAGATGTGCATCAGCGCTCATCAATCTCCCTAGCAGACCTGCCATTTTTCTGATCGTATTCTGCCAGGTCATCTGAGAAGAGAGTGGGCCTTTCCCCTCAGTGGGCAAAGAGCCAGCTTCCATTTTAAAAATCTCTCAGACAAAAAAAATATATATATAACAACCAAGAGCCTGTGTTTATTGAAGGTTGGGCTAAAAGTCTCTCACATCATATGCCCCATCAGCTCTTGAGTGCCTCTATTTTAGAAGGATGTAAAGGTTTAATCACCCTGGTGGGGATTTAGACCCAGAGACTTCAGAGAAATCTTATTATTTCTAACTGCAGGCAAAGAGTATTAAGGCTCCACTCTGGATCAGGGCATGACATGTTCTATAAGTAATTTATCTTTAGCAGGGGAAGGCCCGTACTAGAGTGCCTTAGAAACAGCTCTATGATTGGGCACGGGCTCATTGTTCCTCCTTTCTCCTCCCTGTCTCAGTCTCCGGCCTATTCTTTCTGTCCCAACCCTTTCCTGCCCAATCTGTACAATGCCTCACAAATCCTCCTTTAAGATGGGGAGCAGGTGCTTGCCAGGGAGAGAGAATAATGTTTTTGCAATAAGTGACCTCATCTCACAGCGTGGCATGGACCTGTCAGCTGCAGACTTCTGAACAAGCCCTACCTGCATTCTTTCCAGTGAAGGGGCTGGGGAGTGGAGAGAATGCTGTGGGCCCCACAGGCACTCAAGTCTGTGCTCTTAGACATGAAGGCCATTCTCAACCCCAGCCCCAGCCTTTTTGTTACCTTCACAGAGGCAGTCTCTACTGAAGGCCTTCTGTATCCCTGTGCACATTCATAGGGATGTTACTGAGCCCGTGACTTCATCTGCATGGACACCCAGTCCCATCCCCCTTCTTGCCTAACTCCCTGGGTCCTGCATTTCTGGTGCTGAGGCTGGAGGATGTCACAGGTGGAGTTCTGTGTATGGATTCATTGTTCTGTTTGGGGAATATGGTTTGACTGGTGGCAGATCTAAATCCATGTGTTAATGAGCTTGCTTAAAGCAGGCTTCTGCTATCCTCTTTTAATCTAGCCTGCCTGTCTGAGTTCCTTTCCATAGTTAATGATCTCCTATAATGGTTTTGCCTTGAGTTTTGCCTCCTGGGTCAAAATAAATCAATAGGCCTCACAGATATTTAAAAACCGTCAGTGTAAAGCTCCGGCCCCTCCCCCCTTTTTTTCCTTCTGCTTGAACATATAGCCTGATCAGTACAGTGATGTTTCCCTTATATCTCCTCTTATATCCCAGAGATGGGCAGCAGTGAACCCCTTCCCATCACAGATGGTGACAAGAAGAAGAGGAAGAAGCGGAAGGCCCGGGCCACAGACTCCTTGCCAGGAAAGTTTGAAGGTTGGTCACGCCACTCTCCTAGGCCTGTGGCTCCCTACGCATGGCGGAAGCATCCTGGTAGCCCCTGGGTCCAGGTCCAGGATGCAGCATCTTAGAGCCAGCTCATGGTTATCTGTGTGGTAGGGAGGAAAGATAGGGGTGAGCGAGTGTGCACAAAGGAGTGACAGACAGAGAGCAGGTATGGGAAAAGCCCTTAGATGATGCACCGGCCTCCTTTGAATGGCTCAAGCACCTCATCCATGAACAGAAAGACCAATCTGTCAGAGTTCTATGTGGGGTGGGGTTGCCTGGTGTGTTCCAGCTCCTTTGAGTGATTCTTCCCTCAGTTGTTCCTGGAGGGGCTGCAGAGAGGAAGAACAACTGAATAAGAGGAAGAGAGAAACACCAAGGGCCATGGCTGCAAATGGAACTTCAGTGTTCTATAAGCAGAGAATTTGACTCTTAGAGATTGCAGCTCTTGTGCTGTATGCATTTGACCCCATTTTAAAGAGTACATGTTGTGCTCAGGGGACATGACGTTGGATGTTCAAACATTTTGGGAGGTTTTCTGTGTGCGAGGCGCTAGGCTCGGTGCTGGTCCTGTCGTCACCAGACATGTGATGGGGTGAAGTGAATCACTGTTCACTTCTGCAGAGGACTCTTAGGAGTAACATGTCCACCTTTGTCTATTTTGTTTCTTTCATTGGGAGACTTGAAATAGGTTTCCCTCACATTTCCTCTTTCCAGCCTTGCAGACACACTATTGCAAATTGATTTTTTTGTAGAGTGGTTCTAATAACAGGCACTTTATGAGTCAGGAATATTGGACCTCTAACCACCTACCCATCGTGAGGTGCGTAAAGGGCTAAGGCCTGAGTGTCCGTTGTGAGAGAAGCAGGTCATTTAAAATACTTACAAACAACAGCGTGCCATCTGTTCTTATAAACAGCTACAAGATCAAACTGTGATGGAACCGAGAAAGTACTCAGTGCAGGGTTGTTTTGTTTGTTTGTCTGCCTTTATCTCAAACAACGGGTGTGGGGGGTTGGGGGTGGCAGGAAGGGGGTGGGAAGACAAAAGTCCTGAGATTTTTAGACTAGTTTCCAAATCAACAGATCTTTGCTCTTTCAGTGAACACAAGAGAGGATTTCCTGTTTTTTAAGGATAACTTCTGCAATTACAGAACTTCTCATGACTAGGAGTGAGAAAATCTGATTTCATGGTTTAAAAGTATTCTGCTTTTAATCTGTGGGTTAAATTGCTAGGCTGCCTCAAGAGGAAAAAGCTGAAGAATGGAGGCCAAGGGGGAGGACAAGGTCAGCTCATCAAGGGCCCTGATGGAGATGTAGCTTCCTCTGAAAGGGACTCAAAGAGCTTGTGCTATTTGTGAGCTTGGGCAGGTCACCTAAATATTCTTTCAACCCAGGCCTATTACTCTGTTAGAACCACTCTGACTCATTTCCCTAAAAACCTGGAGGCATCATTCGCGTCTCTCATTTCCTGTGGGTGATTTCTGGAAACTTCACAAAAACCTCTAATGAATTCTATTGTGCGTGGTATAAGATAGAGCAAGTGTTTTACTTCCCTTTGTATCACCAGTGCTTAGCACAGAGCTTGGCACATAGTAGGTGCTCAGCAAGTGATTAAATGAATGGATGATGTTCATTCAAGTCATACCCCTTCTATGAGGACCCTCCAGATTTCCTGAGCAGATTTAACCTTTCCCTTCCCCTGCTTTTTTTTTGTTGTTGTTGTTTATTATATCTTGTCCCTCTGTGATAGTACTTACCAGTTCCTGGTTTGTTCTGGGGTCACTTGTGTATGTATCTGTCTTCTCCACTGGACTGTGACTCTTAGTGGGGAGGGACTATATTTTACTCCTCACTTGTCCCTGTTATGCTGTCTGGCATATAGTAGATGCTCAGGAAGTATGTGCTGAACTGAAACCCTTTCATTGACCTTGTCTCTAACATGAGGAATAGGATGCCTTCTGTGTGGTCTTGTTGACAAACTGACTCCTCAGAGGGCTGAGGAAACTACATGTCTTCCTTCTCACTGAGTGCCACAGAGTCATCGTGTGCCTGTTCTGCCTGTGTTGTCAGACTGGGGAAGCTGAGCAATAGAGCTCTGCTTCCATCTTAGCTAGTAATCTGGTGACTCATCTTGTTATTCCTCTTATCCATTTCACCTCTAGATTTGTACAAGCTGACCTCTGAATTGCTTGGAGAGGGAGCCTATGCCAAAGTTCAAGGTGCCGTGAGCCTGCAGAATGGCAAAGAGTATGCTGTCAAAGTGAGTGTCTCATTTGGTTGCCAGGCTTTACTTTGCAAGTAGTCATTCCCAGCTTGTCCTAAACCAAATAAATTTTATATTCTGCAATATGTTGGCTCAGTAAGAATGGGGGCTCTAAAGCTATATTCACTTGATTCAAATCTCAGTTTCTCTGCTTACTTACTTTGTTACTTTGGGCAAGTTACTTAACCTCTCTGTCCTTCAGTTTCCTCATCTGTAAATGGGTGCAAAAATAGAACCTATACAGAATTGTCGTGAGGATTAAATAAGTTAATATACGTAAAGTGCTTAGAACAATGCCTAGCCCATGGGAAACTGCTGGTTATTACTCTGACAAAGACAGCATCAGGGATTGAACAACCAGATTTGGGATTAGAAGGCCTACCTGAATCTCCGTTTTGACAAACTATCTGACTTTGGGCAAGTGGCTGAACCTCAGTTCCCACATCTCTAAAATGAAAATGATGCTACCTGCCCTTTTTGGTTCGTGGGTGTTATGAAGATGAAAATGAAAATGAACTGGTAGAGGTAGAATCACTTTAAAAATTATAAAATGCTATACAAGTGATGTACATTATCATGATAATGCATATTAAAAATTAGAGTGACTGAGCCCTCAGCTTTGGGGCAGGAGAAGTGTCTTCTAGCCTCATGGCTGCCTTTAGTTCGCAGCATGACCTTGGGGCAGCTCATTTCGCCCCTCTGTGCCTCTGTTTGCCCACTCCATGTGGAAGAAGGGAAGGGTCTGAGCACTGGTTTACAGCAGCAGCAGCAACATTGCCTGGAAACTTGTTAGAAATACAAATTGTCTGGCATTTTCCCAGGCCTGCTGAATCAGAAACTAGGGGTGAGCCCAGAAATATGAATTTTAACAGGCTCTCCAGGTAATTCTGATACCCACTAAAGTCTGAGGACCACTGATGTAGGGCAGTTTTAAACTTCAGTGTGTGTCAGAATCACCTGGAGAGCTAACAAAGCACATAGGGACCCAGGTTTCTTGATATAGGATAGGGCCTGGGTCTTCATGTCTCCCACATTCCCCAAGTGATTCTGATACTCACCAAAGTTTGAGGACCACTGATCTAGAGGAAGGGTATTATTAAATCCAAGGAGGCAAATCAAGTTGTTTTAAATCATCCACCCAAGCTACCAGGTGTAAGTGCTGCCTCCTACTGGCAAGCCCAGCCTAACTGGTTCCTGAAAGACACGATTTCTCTTCTTTTAACCAACTTTCCACAGTCCCAGCAGCCAATAATAAAGAACATCTCTGCTAAGCCATGTTCCTTTTTGCTGGAGTGTTTGCTCCACATGGTAATAAAAGAGCTACCTCAATCCCTTTTTGGAAATAGATCTGTATAAATTACAAGTAACTTTTTAAAAATATGCCCAAGTATGGTAAAAACCACAAACACAAATTGACTTTCAAAGGTTTGAATACATTTATGAATGACAGATCTTTTCTTCAGGGTTGGATGGCAGGAGGGAGACCTGGCCCTCCATGTCCCCTGGCATCTCTTGGCAGTCACTGGACCCTGGCTTGGCAATTCTTGGTTTCAGCAGTTCTTCTGGTGTCTCTTGTCTCTCCTACTCTGTGGAAGCTCCCTGGGGGTGGCTACTTCTCCCAGCATGGCTCCATAATACTTGGTTTATCATGGCTTTCCCTGTCAGCATCCAACTGATGAAACCTAGTGTCTCAGGGATGGAGTGGAAGTTCAACATTATCTGAATGGATTTTCTTTACAGCTCCCCAAATAGTTGTCCATGTCCTGCTCCCCCATCTCTAGTAGCAAGATCCCCGTAGCTCCCGAGAGAAGATTCTGCTGGTGCTAGAAAGCTTGTCTGTAGAAAGCTCTTCCTGACTTTGAGCTGAAATGCTTGGCGAATAAATAGCTCAGAGCTGAATAGCTTCTTTTCCCCAGCATTGCACCTCTCTGCCTACCTGGAAAATGGGCCTACAGTGGCTTACTAACAGACGGGGACTTGTTTAGAAAATTGCTGTTGCTCACGGATGTTTGCGCTGCAACATATTGAAGAAGTTTGAAGTGTTCTGCACAGCAGTCTTCAAAGGAAGGAGCAGGATGTCACCTTCTGTGCTGCCCACTCTGCACATGGGGCTGTGTGGCAGAGCCAGGCTCTGCAGAACACTTGCCCTGTTTGCCAGTTTGGGGCTCTGGATGGGTCCAGAGAGCTTTTCAGAGTTAGCCAGTTTCTTTGTAAACCATCGGCTCATTCTGTCAGCTTACCCGTTTCTTCAGTCAGCGTTTGCCGAGCCTCTTCAGATCTAGGTGTAGAAGGGGAGCAGCCCATGGTGTCATAGGAGAGACAAAGCCTCTAGGTGCTCTATGAAACTGGACAGGGTATAAGCAGGGGTAGGATAGTGAGGGCTTTGGAGTCAGCTTTGGTCTGTGGATAGAATGTTTTACACCTTCCTATCTTTTGACATTGTTATGAGGGTTAACTGAGATAATGTATATAAATCACTTAATACAGTGCCTGCCAAAGAGTAAGTTCTCAGAAGAGGAAGTCCGTACTTCCACCAGGGGGACATGCAGAGGTGGCACCTGAGTTGGGCCTGTGTCCTCCATCACCCTTACTCTTCTTCCTCCCGTACTGGAAGATCCTTCAGCAGAGGCTGCAAATTCTTACCCCGAAGGCAGAAAGAGATGCCCATCAGGAGTAGGAGCTAAGTAGAGACAGCTCTTTGTCTTGTTGGCTGCCTCAGTCTCCCCTGGGCAGCTGAGGCAGCAGCCTTGTAGCCTCCCTTGGTGTCATGCATGGCCAGAGTGGAACGGGCCCAGCTGGGCTGGAAAGCCCTCAGGCCAGTCCACTGCTCTGCTGACAGAGCCACTGTGCCTGTGTCACCAAGGCCCACTCCAGACTTTTGTGTGAAGCTGGATTTGGACTGAATGTGACCTTGCATTCTCCCAGAGGGCTCCTGCCAAGGGGCTGTTTTGAAGTCAGGTGGGTGTACATGACAGATTTCATTCTTCCCCACAGATCATCGAAAAACAAGCAGGGCACAGTCGGAGTAGGGTGTTTCGAGAGGTGGAGACGCTCTATCAGTGTCAAGGAAACAAGTGAGTACATCGTGGGTTAACTGCTGCCTTTCTGGGGATGCTTGGCCACAGCAAAAGAGGTGATTTCTTACCATCTCTTGACCCTAGAATTTAGCCCACACTCCTTCCTCCATAACTACCTGTAACTCCTCCCTTTTTCAGTGAGAGAGAGAGAAACAGAGGGAGGGAGGAGAAGCAGCAGTCACAGCAAAGAAGCTATCTTCTCTTTAGGCTGAAATATTGTAAATATCAGCAATTCGGGCAAGTTAGCAGAGTGAGCAATCTGAATCAGTGACTGTTTGAGAAAAAATTGGGTTTTGTTTGTTTCAAGTGCCTGTGGAAACTAGGCGGAGTGTTGCCTGGTAGAAAACTTTAGGGACCTGCTTTAATACCAAGGTAAGGATGATGAGAAATCTTAAGGATATTGGCTGCTGTTTTCTGTTCTGGAGGTATTTACGTATGTGCAGCTGCTTATACTAAGGGACCTGGAACCTTGTCCAGCACTCCTTCCTTGATAACTGGGCCAGGGTAATCTCTAGCCCAGCCTCAGTCTGCTCACCACCGGCTCCAAATGAGTGGTTCTCCCACTATGGCTTTAAATCAGGGTCACCTCTAAGACTCCGCTTCCCCTTCTCTCTCCCGCCATGGCAGGGTCAGTGGGGAGCCAGTGGCCTGGTATTGATGGCTTTGTCATTAAGCTTGGAGGATGAGGGCTGCTGTTGATTTAACTCCAGGCTCTGCCTCTACAGTCTTCTTTAAAATTAGGCCATTTTGGCCATCTTATTTGGACGCTTTTACACTAGTAAAAGCCTCGTGTCTCCCAAAGTGGTCAACATTTTTTTTATGAGGGACAGATTTTTATTTTCAGCCCTGCAGCCTCTTAGTTCAGCATTAGAGAGTCTACCTGGTTTATTTCATTCTTTAAAAGAAAAAAAGCCCCCAACACCTCCAATATCCAGGCTGGTGGCTTCCCTGCTGAGTTACAAGACGACCTTGTTGGCGGAGCACTGAAATACTCGGGCAGACAGAGAGTGCTCACCGGGGAAGGCCACAAGTGCTACAGTGGCCAGGAACGCGGCCGTTTCATTAAGCAGCGCTTAGCAGTTAGGGTCTAGCGGTGCCCACGTTAGGCCCCAAGTCTATTTGACAGATGTTTCCATTTTCTCCAGGCAATGTAAATACTGCCCCATGATTTATGGGCAAGAGGGAGGGCAAGTAATTATTTGCTGCCTGCCTCCAGGACACACACCTACTATTCAGTGTTATTAGCCGCAATTGCTTCCAGTCGGCTGCAGATTTTATTCAGTTTAATGTGACCGGGACTTTTTTATAACTCTACCTAGTGGGTTTTAGGGTTGGGGTTTGACAGCACAGACTTGGTGAAAACACCAGAGACTAAACATTATGGAAAGATAAGGTGACCTGAATCTTGCTAACACCATTGGCTGCTTCCAAACATGGGTCTTTAGGAAGCATTCTGATTTCAAGTTGATTTCTGCCCCGCTATAGGGCATTGTATATTTTTTTCATTGTATGTTTGTAAGTGGACTTCAGTATGTAATGCCATTCCCCCCTTTTCCCTCTCCTCGTATTTTTCCCTATTTAAGGAACATTTTGGAGCTGATTGAGTTCTTTGAAGATGACACAAGGTTTTACCTGGTCTTTGAGAAATTGCAAGGAGGTACTTACTGTTGAGTATGTGTTTGGACTTCTGATTAAGACCCAGGGTGGTGATCATCCATCATGAATCCCAGCGACTTCTAAAATGAGTCAAGCTAATAAAAAGGATGAAGGACTTAAAATCTGCCCTTGATTTGGGAGAAGGGAGGCCGGAGGGAAGGATGATAATTAGCATTTTGCAGAGCTTAGAATGTCACCTGTGTGGTCATTCTATAAATGCCTTTTCGTTGTAATAGGAGTCATATATAGATACATTTAGTGATCGATTTATCAATCCCCTGTTTTGACACATTCACTACTTAACTAAATTAATTATGGAGTGGAAGCTCTTGCATACATTGTGAAGCCTAGAAATGCTAAAGCAGAGGAGAGTCCCATTGTTTGGGACACAGATGCAGGATGGAGGGAGGGCTGAGAATGTGCCACCCTTCAGAGGGAAAGATGCCATAACCCACGCACATAATCAGTGGGGTGTAAGTTTAAGTTCCTTGTCTGATACAGCAAAGGGAATAGAGAAATCCTTTCCCTCCCTATCACTCACCTGACCCTAGGACATATTTACAAGGTGAAGGTTACGGGGATATCTGGAACTGAGCAGAAGGCCACGTGGAGGGGCGTGGTGATGGCTAAGGGAGTGTGCTTTAGAAACCAACAGAGCTTAAGGCCGGCCCGTGGCTCACTCGGTAGAGTGCGGTGCTGATAACACCAAGGCCACGGGTTCGGATCCTATATAGGGATGGCCGGTTTGCTCACTGGCTGAGCGTGGTGCTGACAACACCAAGCCAAGGGTTGAGATCCCCTTACCGGTCATCTTTAAAAAAAAAAAAAAAAAAAAAGAAACTGCTAAATTGTAGGGCTGGCCTGTGGCTCACTCGGTAGAGTGCGGTGCTGATAACACCAAGGCCACAGGTTCGGATCCTATATAGGGATGGCTGGTTGGCTCACTGGCTGAGCGTGGTGCTGACAACACCAAGCCAAGGGTTGAGATCCCCTTACCGGTCATCTTTTAAAAAAGAAAAAAAAAAAAAAGAAACCAACAGAGCTGAGCTTAAGTCTGGCTCCATCACTGCTTGCCGTTTGACCTTGGGCAAGTCACTTAACCTTTTCCAAACAGTATTCTCATCTATTAAATAGGGATATTGATAGCACCTGCCTCTTTGGGTGGCTGTGAAGATTAAATGAGATAATTCATGTGAAATGCTTAGCACAGTGCCTGGTAAGCACTAAAGCTTCAGTAAATGTTGGCTGTTAATATTATTAAAACAATTGGGTATACTAGGGACTATCTTAGAAAGTATATAGAAAGTTACTCTGCCTTCCCTTTTAACAAATTTGGAAACAAGAGGCTCACTACAGTACAGCAAGCTAGAGCCTTGCCAGGAGCTGGTTTTCTGGGAATGTTCCACAGCATGTTGGGATTGTTGGATTGTTTAATCCGTTAAGTGAAAGATCTTTGGCAGTTCTTCCTCTTCTTTCATCCCCTCCCCATGCCAAAAAAGCAGAGACAATAACTAAACATGTGCCATTTTTTAGGGTACAGAGATGACTCCTTCAGCCCAGGAAACTGGCTTCCAGTAGTAAGTACAGATCACATGAAGCCAAGCCTGTGTCTGCTCCTTCCCCACCCAACAGCACAGGACTGTGAATTACATGTTTGAAATGCTAGATGTAATCGGGGTCCTCTGTAGCCATATCACTCAGAGTGCAGCTCTACTGAGGCCAGACCCAGGGGGCAAAGAGAGTGTGGTTGGCCTGGGGCAGTCCATCCCCTCAGCTGTCAGACCACACGTGCTGCTGAGAGGAAGTCTACACGGCCCCTGGGGCCCGCCTCACTGGGCCTGAGTCCTGGCTCCACTACTTAACTGTCATGTGATCTTGGGCAAGTTACTTAATCATTTTTGGCTTCAGGTTCCCCATCTAGAAGATGGGGATAACTATACTACCCATTTTGTACAGTTGTGGTAAGGATAAAATAATATATTTAAAGAGTATTGCATAGTTCTTGGCACATAGTAACTACCCAATAAATGTTAGCCATTGCCAACAAAATAATAATAATATTAATAATAAATGGGCAAGTTCAGTGGAAAAGCCGTTTTTCCTCCTTTTTTCAGACTTCTATATATCTGGTGAGGGTGTGGCATTTCCATTTGAAGGCTCGTGCTCTTGTTTGGTTCTGAGATTAGATGCAGAGAAGAAAATGTTCCTACAGAGAGACCTCCTCGGCCCCCATGTGCATTCACTTTTAGTTCCTTTCGATTTCAGAAGCCAAACCAGCCCCGATGGCATTAACATTTTTTAGCCATATAAATAGTTGTTCTGTTCCCTTCTGAGCTCCTTGTAGACAGGTACAGAGGATAGCAGTGTAGTTTTGTGCCAAGCACCACACTTGGTGCTGGACATTTGCTGATGAATAAGCCTCTGTCCCCACCCCAAACTTATGAAAACTTGGCCTCTAAGAAGTTACACTGACAAGATCCTGAAAAGGCATTCTTCTATGTCCCCCCTGCTCCCCAGGCTCCATCCTCGCCCACATCCAGAAGCGGAAACACTTCAATGAGCGAGAAGCCAGCCGAGTGGTGCGGGATGTTGCTGCTGCCCTTGACTTCCTGCATACCAAAGGTGAACCAAGCCTGAGCCTTGGTGGGTGGGTTGGGCTGGCCAGCCCCTGGGTACTTAAGGGAGAGGGGACAGGACAGGCAGAGGGCCTGTCCAGGAGATTGTGCAGCTGGCAGGCAGCTTGAGATTTGCACGTGCCCAACCAGGGGACCCGGGGGTGGCAGTCCAGGATGGTTCCTGGACTTCTGCTGTGGATGGTGAATAGATGGTGGGGTTATTAAGCAGGATAGGGATACAGGAGAAAGAGAAGAAGGAAAAAGAATTAAGATTTTACATTGAGCAAGGTAAATGTGAGTGTGTGTGTGAGTGTGTGTATATGTAACTGTGGGTGTGGGCGATGCTCCTTTTCTTTTCCTGTTAAAGAATATAAAACCCAGGCATACTACATCCGTTCTAATGTAAATGTTTTTGTGTGATTGCGTCTCGTCTTTAAAAATATATCACCTGTGTCTCTCTTTTCAAAACTGACATGATAGGACATATGTTGTTTTATATCTCTGTTCACAGTAAATGAAAAATGCATTTTTCTACTAACGTAAGTTTGAGGTTTCTGTTGAATGTCATAGGGGTAACTAGCAGGTTGCTATTGTTTGAATTACACTTCAGTTTACAGTCCCTTTCTTTAAGACTTAGTTATTTAAGAACATTTGTAGTGAATTAAATCTTTTTGCAAATTAAGTGTTTTTATACTTCCATGAACCTGTTTGACTATTACATACATTTTTAAATTTTGCCTAATAGCAGTGCCATGGAAAAAATGAATCCTGGCTTCACCTTTCTTCCAACTATTGCTCTCAGTAAAAATGTCTGCCCTATGGTGTGAATTAAGAGAGATAATATCAACAGTGGTTAACACTTATATAGCACTTGTTATAAAGCACTGAAGCTTGTATATATACTTGTTTACATAATTGTGTGTGTCTTATATATGTATCATATATGTATAGCATAGCTGGAGCATAGTTCCTGGTACATAGTAATTCTTGAATAAATGTTATTTCTTCTACCCTCGTCCCCCACTAGGCTGAAAGCATTTTCATTCCTGATATTAATTCCCTTAAAGTTAATCATTCTGCGAGGTGGGGGGTTGGGGTGGAGCAGATAATCTGTGACTTAGCTCTGTTCCCTTCACTGTTGTGGGTATCGGCCAGCCACATTGGTTGTGAGTGCTCAGGACCGATTGTAAGCATGCCACTCACATATCCCACTTGTGCCAGCAATACCACACAGACTGGTGTGGCTCATGTGGGGGAGTTCAGATTCACGGACTCCACCTCAGTTCTTCCAGTGGCCGAAAGAGAGCCGCATACTGACAGTACCCACGCTGGGGCCCTGACTTGCACCTGGGATGAAAATTCCTAGAAGGGGGTGTCTGTACTTCCCACAGCATGATGAATAGCAGCAGTTCTGTTTCTGAAAGCTGGGATGCATATAGGTAACACTTGCCTGACAAAGATTTACAACTGCTCCCCAAGCTGCCTCTGTAGATTGCAAAACTGGGTCATGCTTTTTACAAGATCCGCACCTTGGAGCGAGGAGTAAAGGCGGTTTTATTATTTATTTATTTATTTATTTATTTACAAGCATGCACTAAAGGGAACGGAGGCTGGTGGTGTCTTAGGAGTTCTGAAGTGCTTGTTAACATCTAGCTGGCCAACTGCCCATGTGACTAGAAGTTGGAGGGATGAAAAACGATTTCCAGCTGAACTTGGCTGTTTTCTAAATAACTTCATGCTGGGAAGATGAATTGGGCAAGAATAGGTCAGCTCTGAAACAAGTTCCATACTCTTAAATACTGGACACACTGTGGCTTAACCTCTGGGAAATGAACCGGAGCCGCCCGATGGCTGGTGTGCTCACACAGGCAGGCCCATTATTACAGCCTGGTTCTCTGAGTTATCAGGCTGAGAGACAACAGGGCCATAGGCAGCTATTTGGAGAGTAAGGCGCCATGTGTGGCTCGTGATCCTTCTGTGGGAGCACTTGCTGTAATGGAAAATATCTTTCACTTTTAGTGCAGCAAGCTGTAGCCTGACTCAATTTGTGCAGCCTGGACGGAGTTGCTCTGGGTTCTCATTCAATTAGGTGACTGATGAAGTTACTTAGCTTGCTGGAGCTCAGGTTTTTCCTCTCTACGACGTGCCTCAGGTGGGCTGGGTAGGCCTTTGCCTTCTAGGAGAGAATTGGCAGGCTGCCTAAGTTGATCATCAAGAGAGTTTTAGTAAAGCAGATTCTGCTTTTCCCTATCACCCAAAGAATCGTCTGGTGCTTTCCAGTATTTGCAGGCAGTAGCCATTTGAGTCTTGCTCAACCTTCCAGCCCTCTGTCTCTGTGCTGTGTTGCTGTGGAAGGAAGGAAGAAAGGGAGGCTTCGGTGTCCCACCAGAACACCGTGTCCCTATGGGTTGGTTCTTTGTCTCTTTCTTTGGGTTGGAAGATGGTTTTCCCCCAAGTGCCTTCTTGGCCAGGTCAGCAACTTTTAACCCCTTGTGCGGTAAGCTGCTATTTGCAGTCTCCTTCAGGAGGCCTGGCCAAAATGCAGGGGAGTCTTCTCAAGAACAGCACCCTTGGTCCAAAGCAGTCCTAGCTATGCTGCTGCCAGGGCAGCCATGGACATGCAGAGCAGGGGAGAAGGAAATCGGACAAGCTTTGAGAGATTTGATAACTAATACCTGATCCTCTGAACATTCAGGGAATCGCACTGAAGTAATATACTCATATTATTTTTTTTAAATAGGCCACATGAGAAGAAATGAGGTAGAGCAGTCTAAGCCCCCTGAGATGCTCCTAAACAAGGCACTAATTATGTCTGCATTGCAGTTCCAAGCATTGCCATTTGCAGAGCTCTCTGCTCTGCTTTATATTAGGCTTTCTTATTCTTGGTTGCCACTGCAATGCTGAAAGTTAGGCTGGCTGGGATTCATTTAGCCCTTCTTATCCCTGCCAGACTTGTAAAGCCTCTGCTTCAAAAGAACTTGCAGAATCAACCGTGCTTTTGGTTCGTGTCTCTGGTTACTTCTGCCTCCTGCAGCTCGTTGATTTTTTAATGTACCATAATTGGGAATTAATCTGCAAACAACAGCATTTGGAAAAAATTAATTGTGCATGGAATGTTTGATAATTATGTGCATATGTTAACCATTTCTTTGCTCTTTGTCATTTCAGGCATTGCTCATCGTGATCTCAAGCCGGAAAATATATTGTGTGAATCTCCAGAAAAGGTACTTAGGGCCTGGTTTGGGATGTTTCAAGTTTGTACTGATTGGGGAAGCTACCCTTGCTTTACTACAGATTGTCAATAGTTCTCTTGGTCTCAGATACCAACTTGAACTGATCATTATGGACACATGAGAATGTTATACCTAATGTATAATGTTTCTACATTACAAGTAGGGTTATCCCTTGTCCCTTCTTTGCTCTTTATCACCAGTGTGATTGGCTTAAGCTTGAGAGTTTGTAAAATGTATGAAATTTGTACAAAATTAATATTTTCTAGTCCAATGCACCTACCTTTAGAGCAGTTGATGTGAGTCATAAACAACTCTATCGCACAAAAGCCTGTCTCTGCCTATATATGATATTTGTGGTATGGTTTATATACTAGATGTTATCCACCACTAGACATAATAATTTCTTGAAAAGGGTTTCTGTTTTCCATTTTTATTTCCGAAGGTGCCCTTTAAAAAGAAAACGTTTATGCTCTGTGTTGAATAAATGCAACCTATTTTAAATGTTGCCTTAACTCAGTCTGCCAGTAAATGGAGGTGTTTGCATTTCCATAAGAGTGTATGAATTTGACAAATTCTGTGTTTGTTAGGAGGGATTTAGGCCCTGGTGGTGTTGGTGGCCCACATTCATGGCAATGTATGTTTGTATCCATGTGTGCATTTGAGAGTACACGTCTTGTGTTGTGTGCATGAAGCCATGGTTCGTAAATAAGGAATGGCTATGAGTTAATATGAGAGTCAGCCTGCTACTTACAACTTTGTTGTGGAGAATAATAATGTATTAGCTCCAATAAGATCTTGCATCTTCCTGACAGTAGTTCTGGCATAGAACTTTATAAATTATGATTACTATGATGATTATTAATAATAATTACAGTTAATGTTTCTTGAGTGCTTACATTATGCCAGGCATTTATATTTATTTAGTACTTATAAAATATCGTGAGGTGTATACTATTATTATCTTCATTTTATGGATGAGGAAACTAAAGCTCAGAGAGGTTAAGAAACTTGTACAAACTCACTCAACTGGTAAGTAGAAGAGCCTAGATTTCCATGGGTGCTCTGAACTACCCATTATTGCCTCTGATTTACAATATATTTTCATGTTTTTTGTTCCACTTGATCTTCATGGCACAGGTTTGTTGCTCCTTTTTTATGGTTGTGAAAACTAAAATTAAGAGAGGCTAAGTGTCAAAAGACATTATCAAGAAAGTGAAAAGAAAACCTTCAAAATGGAAAAAAATATTTGCAGATCATATATCTGATAAGAGTTTAATATCCAAAATATACGGAGAACTCCTAAAACACGCACAAAAAGATAAAGAACCAAGTTAAAAAATGTACAAAGGGCTTTAACAGACATTTCTCCAAAGAAGAAATGCAAATAGCCAACAAGCACACGAAAAGATTAGGGAAATGCAAATCAAAACCACATGAGATACCACCGGAAACTTACTAGGATGGCTATCGTTTTAAAAATGGAAAATAACAAGTGTTGGTAAGGATGTGGAGAAATTGGAACCCTTATACATTGCTGGTGGGGATGGAAAATGGTGCAGCCACTGTGGCAGACAGTTTGGCAGTTCCTCAAAAAGCTAAACATAGATTTACCCTATGACCCAGCAATTCCACTCTTAGGTATGTACCCAAAAGAATTGAAAACAGAGACTCAAACAGACACTTGTACACTTAACGTTCGTTACAGCATTATTCATAGTAGCCAAAAGGTAGAAACAACCACAGTTGCCATCAGCAAATGAATAAATAAACAAAATATTTTGTATACATACAATGGAATCTTGTTCAGCATAAAACAGAACAAAGTTTTGTCATGTGCTACAACACGGATAAACTGTGAAAACATTATGCTCGGTTAAATAAGCCAGACATAAGAGGACAAATATTATATGATTCCACTTGTATGAGATATCTGGAATAGGTGAATTAATAAAGACAGAAATTTGATTAGAGGTTACCTGGGGCTGGGGAGGAAGGGAATGGGAAGTTATTGCTTAATGAGTATGGGGTTTCTGTTTGGAGTGACAGAGAAGTTTTAGAAAGAGATATAATAGTGACAGTTGCACAACAGTGTGAATGTGATTGATACCACCAAACTGTACACTTAAAATTGGTATATTTTATATTTTACCACAATGAAAAAGAGAAGACTAAGTGTAAAAGAAAAGAGGAGGGAGGGAAGGAAGGAGAGAAGGAAAGAAGTTAAAAGACTTGCCCGGGCGTCCCCGGTGGGTAAAGCAGTGAAGCGGTGAACTGGGACTCACAGAACCAGCGTTTCCATCTCCCTCACTGTGCTGCTCCGGCCATGTGGGCCATTCTTATGTGTGCATACAAACTGCCCTCCCGATTGGCTCCAGAGCTGCATCACCCTGTCTGTGGTCTCCAGCTCAGCGTCTAATGCTAGTGGGCTTGGCTGCTGTGTTGATGCCCCTAGGGTAACTAATCATCCCAGTTTTCCAGGGACTGAGGGGTTTCCTGATATGCAGGACTTTCAGTGCTTAAACCAACAAAGTTCCAATCAAGCAAATCAGGACAAGCTGGTCACCCTAATCCACCTGAGGCAGTCAGGGGTTTTACACCAAGCTCCTTTGCCCTGCACTGTGTGGGCTGCAAGGAGTCTGTCTGTCAGGAGTACATATTATCTTCTCTAGCTTCTGTGTTGCACCTTATACCATCAGTTACCAACAAGAGTTCTACACTTACTCCGTGCTAAGTTAACAACAGCCTAACACCATATAGTTCACTCATTTTTCTCTTAGTTGGGAAATAAGAGAGCGTGGGGAAGAGGACACCTTGGAAAAAAATCTTCAGGTGACTTCTAGTTAACCCAAAGAGAGTAAATATGACCTGATGGATAAAACTGGGCTGCAGTGATAGCCAGGCACCTATGAGCCTGTATGGTCGTGTCCGTCTCCCTGTGCCCTTTAGTTTCTTATGTCTGTGACTTTTGCCTTCCGTTTTCCTTTTCAGGTGTCTCCAGTGAAAATCTGTGACTTTGACTTGGGCAGTGGGGTGAAACTGAACAACTCCTGCACACCCATAACCACCCCAGAGCTGACCACTCCAGTACGTAAGGCTGGTACCCTGTGTCACTTCCTTCTGGGCTCCAATACATTTGGAGTGCCCCCTGACCCAGAGCTGTGCAGTCCTGAAGGGAGGGCGAAGGAAGGAAAACCAAGTATTCCTAGAGCACTTCCTGCTGCCTGAGGAGTCATGTGGCTCACTGCTCTGTATTGGTAGCTCCCAAACCCCCACTTTAGCTGCTAATGAAACTGACATTAGAACTTTCAGTTTGAGGTGGGTCCTTTCTGCTAATGAAGAGACAAATTGTGTCAGCATAGGCTGGACCCTGACTCCTGAGCCAGGTGAAAATATAGTACTCCCAGGCCAGCCCTTTGCATATGAGCATGTGGGTAGCTCTGGAAGTCCTATTCCCACTGCTGAAGTCACAGCACATCCACCTTGTGACGGAGGATGGTGGGCAGATAGTCTCTCTGTGGTGGGAAATATGAGGTCCCTGGCTGTATGCATGTGGGATCACTTGGCAAAATTATCCTGTCGTTTCTCTGACTTCACATTTCACGCCCAGATGGTGCTGCTGGGAGCTACTTATGCCTAAGACATCTCTTGTACCTTGTTGATATACTATCATATTATGTTTCTTTGGAGAATTGCATGCTTCATAAGTGAATTTTCCTAATAACCTTTTTTTAAGACATGCCTTTAAATATGCCTGTATCATGTCTTATTCTAAGCAACATTATTAGGAATGTTTCTGTATTGGCTTCTAACACACTGGGGTACCTTGTTCTCAGTCATTAACTCTAATTGCCCGCACTTACTATCTATCAAATTAGTTTGGGGAGGTGTGGTAGGGGGGCTTGTTTCTTGGTGAGCCTGAAATAATGAAGAGGGGAGCAAAAAGAATGTGTTTTATTCTTATTGGCAGTTTTCTATGCAAGGATGGAAGGCAGAGATCCTGGATTCTGGTCCTGGGTCTGCCACTGATGTGCTCAAACAAATCTCATCCCATTCTAGGCCTTGCTTTTGCCATCTGAAAATAGAGGAGCGGGGGGAGTGGATTTGTTCCAAGAGCTCCTTCTATCTTTGATGGGCTCTTAATTCTAAATCCTTGCACTTCCTTGTTCTGAGCTAGCAGGGAAGCTTGGCAGAATTAAGAAATCCTTGCTGTATGGAATTGGATCTCCACAGATCTCCCTCCTAGAGCCATATTCCTGGTACATTTAAGTCCCTGTACCTGAAGTGTCTGTTTATAGAGAGCTGAGGCAGGGGGAGATTCCTGGAACTTTTTGGCCAAGGGTCTCTGCCTACTGGAGAAGAACCTGAAAAGATAAAAATTCAACTTGGAACTGGTAGCATGGATCAAGGGGAATGATGGGGCTCAGTTTACAGATGTTCGGTTGGCCCAGCCTCTCTGTATGCCTTGGTGGTATCAGGTGAGCTCTCTATTGGCTTTCCTGATGACTTCCCGCTGCATAGCTCCATCCTCTTGCTCCAGTCCCACTACCTTCTGCTCTTTGCCTCCCGTCTTTGTGACTAAGCCTCTCTCTTCTCTGCCATCTCCCCCTCCCCAACCCTGGCCCCCACAGTGTGGTTCTGCAGAATACATGGCCCCCGAGGTGGTGGAGGTCTTCACGGATGAAGCTACTTTCTATGACAAGCGCTGTGACCTGTGGAGCCTGGGCGTGGTCCTCTACATCATGCTGAGTGGCTACCCGCCCTTCGTAGGTCACTGCGGGGCTGACTGTGGCTGGGACCGGGGAGAGGTCTGCAGGGTGTGTCAGGTGAGTGTAGTCCCACTACATAGGCCCTGCCGGGGGACAGTGTAGTTGTGCAGTGCCAAGCAGGACTGGGCAGGGAAATAGTTCCTGATGTAAAAGGGAGCCTATAGTGTCCCTCCCTCTTCTATCAGGGAAGCCACAAGGTAAAATAGAGATAACCAGAGATCAGCCCAGCTAGGAGTTCAGGGAAAGATTGTTAGAGAAGATCATATCTGAGCTGACTCTTGAGGAAGGAGTCTTGGCCAGGGGAAGAGGGACGAGAAACAGAAGTAGAAGGAACAGCACAAGCGAAGACATGGAGGTACGAAACAGCCGCAGGTGCACAGGGAGAGGAGTGGAGTTAAGGCTCTTGGCGGTGGGAGATGAGGCTGGAGTGGTTGCCAGGAGCCAGTTCACGGAGGGCCTCTATAAAGGGCCAAGGGATTGGGGCCATGTTCTGTGGGTGATGTTCTCCACTCAGTACCCCTCCAGCCCAGCCCTCCAGGTAGCATAGCCTTCCTGGCCTGCCAGGGGCATTTGTGTCATTTGATGATTTAGTGGAGAGTGGGTGTTCTGGGAAGGGTCTCCAGTCTGTGGCAACCTCAAGCTGTGAGCTGCAGCTGCAGCTGTGGTGGATTGGAGCCCGGGGGGTCAGATCCATGGCAGGCATATCCTGCCCATCCCCTGGCCAGTGCGTCCTCAGGAGGAATCTTCTTTACCTAGAACAAGCTGTTTGAGAGCATCCAGGAAGGCAAGTATGAGTTTCCTGACAAGGACTGGGCACACATTTCCAGTGAGGCCAAAGACCTCATCTCCAAGCTCCTGGTTCGAGATGCGAAGCAAAGACTCAGCGCCGCCCAAGTTCTGCAGCACCCGTGGGTGCAGGGGGTGAGTGACTCCAGGAAGGGGTGATGTTCTTCCACTCCAGGCCAGGCAGTGTGGCCGTGAGGAAGCTCTCACACCAACAAGTGCTGGCACCAACCAGGTGGCCGACCTCAGCCGGGGGCGGCCACTGAGCAGCTTTAGTCCCTGTGTGTGTGCAGTGAGTTACTCCTCCCTTCGCCCCAGGCTGACATGCCATAGACTTGGCTCTAACCTCGGCCACAGACTAATCCCCCAGCAGAGCCCTTTAGGGAATTGGCACTCTGGCACTCGCATCCTACTATTGGCAGAGGCACCCAGCCCAGGAAGCAACCTGATGTTGTCACTTGGGGCCTGTAGTGTCAACCCCTTATGCAGAAGCATCACCAGCTGAGCACACCCAGAAGCCAGGCCTTGCTGCCCTGCATGTTGTAAGGCTGCTTGGGGGAACACAGGGTCTCCTCATGGCCTGGGGGTCCAGGTGCAGCTGGCCTGAAAGGCAAAAGGTGGTGTTTTTCCAAGATAAGGGTCCAAATCTTCACTAGAAAACACTTTTTAAAAATCTTTGTGGGTTAGTCACCATACCTGAGCTCTGTCCCTCCAAGAAGTCTGCACACCCTCTTGTGATTTACTGTGTCTCCTTGGTCTTCTAGGCCCTAGCCAGCGTCAGTGACCCTACCAATGGGAGGAGACAAGCGTTGCCAGCCTGTGTTACAGACAGGGCCCAATCCAAGAGTATCTAAGTGACTAATTCCCAGTCACCCAAGAGTGAGCACCTAGCACATGCCAGATTCTAGCAGTACAGGGATGAGTCAGACCCAGTCCCTATCTTCATGTTCTAGTGGAGAGAGATAGACAAGGGAATAAATTACAGGACAGTGTCATACATGCCTATAAAAAGTGCTAGGGGCACAAGGGGACGTGGATTCATCCCTGTGTGGAACTGGTACAGGGACGTGTCAGGCAAGAGGGAATGCTTCACAGGCGAAGTGACCCTCAAGCTGCATCTTGGAGCATGATTAGGACTCTGCCAGGCAAAGGGAGAGAGGGGCTCTCCATTCAGAGGCAGCTGTGACTTCAGATTGTGTCTTTCTTGCTCTCTCCTTGGAAGGTCTGACCTTGCAGGCAAGCATAGCCAAATCCTTGTGCTGTGCCAAGAGCCTGTAGTAACTTACCCACTCTGTGCTGGCTTGGGTGGGGGCAGCTCTTGGAAGGAGGGAGCAGCACTTACCCACAACATCTGTCCTTCCCATTCTAGCAAGCTCCAGAAAGGGGACTCCCCACGCCGCAAGTCCTCCAGAGGTAAACGCTACAACCACACCCAACTTCCTTTTCTCCTTGGCTTTGACTTTCCCTCAAGTTCTCAGCCATGCTGGGGATGGAGGCTGGGGTGGGGGGACAGGGAGCCCCTCTCTAGGCCCAGGTTTCCTTCTCCAAAGGGGCTCCCTGGCCTGCCTTCTCCCCTCTCCCCACCTCCCTCTCTTTTCCCTCTTCCATTACAGCTATCTCCCTCTCTTTGCTTCCTCCTCTGGATTGCTTCTCTGCCCTCTAGCACCTTTAAGACACCCCTCCACCCCCACACTGTTTGCAGGAAAAAGTGTTGTGCATACCTACTGAATCCTAACTGGAAATCACCATTTAAACACAAAGACAGACCTTATCTGTGGGTTATTCACACTTAACTCTTGCAGTTGGTGAAAGCAGCAGGAGTTGGGGGCACTTTAAGGCAGTGGGACCAGCCGGACACATTGCCAGACAAACAATTATAATGATGGCCTCAGCTTATTAAATACTTAACCGTGAGTCAGACACAGTGCAAAGGGCTTAGTGTGTATCATCTCCATAATTTTCAAAGTAAACTTAAAGAAGAGATGTTCCTATCATCCCCATTTTGTAGATTAGAAAACTAAGGAATAGAGAGATCAAGTAAACTTGCTCAAGGCCACACAGTAGCCCCAGGCTGTTTGACTCTAGTGCCTTTTAACAACTAGACAGCATTCCCAGAGAGCACTACCCTACTCCCAAAGGGCCAGGCTCATGGCCAGTTTTTCAGAGTTACACAGAGAAGTTTTACACCTCCGTAGTCTCAATTCACTTGACCCAGAATGCTGTTGCCCAGCTTGGGTTCCTTCCTGATTCCCTAGAGCTGCCTCCAGATGCCTTGAGGCGCCAAACCTCAGATCCCTCTTAGAAGATTTATTCGGCAAACCCCACAGCCCCGCTCCTCCTGGGAGGGGAGTGTAACGTGCTGTGGCCCTGCCTATGGTAGAGCCGTGTGGAGTCATGGGGGCTCAGGAGGGTGCTCTGAGCAGAAGGGGGCATTTGCCACAACTGTCAACTCCAGGGACTGTACTTGAGGCTCAAAGGCTGTTCTGGCCTCAGTCAAGCAAGATTCCAAACCCAAGCAAGAACCACTTTGGAGAGAGCAGCCCGAGCCACTCAGGAAAATCTGGTGGGAGTACAGAACCGCCCCAGTGAGCGGGAGTGTCCAGAAGCTGGCCTGGCTGACCAAGCCCTGCCTCCCTCTTTCCTGTGCCCTCCCCCTGGGCCCTGCAGGAACAGTAGCACGATGGACTTGACTCTGTTCGCAGCCGAGGCCATCGCCCTCAACCGCCAGCTGTCTCAGCACGAGGAGAACGAACTGGCAGAGGAGCCGCAGGCACTGACTGAGGCCCTCTGCTCTGTGAAGCTTTCCCCTCCATCCAAGTCACGCCTGGCCCGCCGGCGTGCCCTGGCCCATGCAGGCCGCAGTGGAGAGATGGGACCGTGCCAAAGACCCACAGCACTCTGAATTGCTCCAGCCGCACCTTGTAGGCCTAGGCCTGTCCAGGCATTGCCCCCTGGAAATGTGTGAGGCCAAAGTCTGCAGAGCAGGCAGAGGGGCCTGCTCAATGGCTCTATTCAGGCTTTTTCATCTACGAAGGACCTGAGATTCCCACCCAATCCGACATTTCACTAGGGTCCTCCTGGAAAAAGCTGTTTCCAAAGGGGTTGTCTTTGAAAGGAAAGCAATCACTTGTCACTTTGCATAATCGCCTGCGGTGGAGACATCTCTTTGCTGGGCTCCACCTGCTCGCCTGCCTGCCTGTGGATCCCAGATCCAGCCTGCTGTCCCCACAACTGCTGACTGCTGAGGCTGCAACCTTCAGGGAGCCAGCTTTGAGAAGCATCAGTTGACAGAGGCTGACATCATGTGCCTCTTCTCTCTCTGCACTGTCACCCTGCTCTGACGGTCCTTCCACCTTTCTCTGTCCTCTAGATGTCCTCTTTGCCTGTCCTCTCCCTTGGCTGAGCAAAGCCATCCCCTCAATTTGGGGAAGGGCAGGGAGCCTTCCTCATTTGGGAAGCCAGATCAGTCTTCCAGTCTGTAGCACAGAGAAGCACATAATCTTTCTTTGCCATGACCGAAATGTGTCCCTCATTTATCAACCTCTTCTTTGTGATTGCTACTAAAGTCAGTATTATTTTTTTTTAATGTTTGGGTTTTTTTAACCATGCCTTTCCAGCAAAGATGGGACTTTAAACTCCCACTGCAAGCCCATGGGCTTTCCAGAGCATGTAACCGAATATCTCACTCTTCTTTCTGGAATGTTCATGCACTTGGGTTTTAATCAGCTGTTCCTTATTATTCTAACTGGTTTTAAGCTATTACTGGTTTTAAGCTATTACCTAGAGACAGTGTCAGCGTCTGCTACTGCTGTGTTCCCCAGGTCACATATGGAAAGTGGTATGGATCTGGGGCAGTTAGATAGAGCTTTGTGCCTGAGGTGAAGCCAGATTGGAGGCAGCCCTGCTGCCCTGGACTGAGCAAAGTGAAGCTGGTGGCGTCTGCTACCCGAGAGCATGAAGGTACAGCCATTGTCAGATAAGCTGAGCTATAGAGTTACATAAAGAAAACAGATTTGCCTATATCAGACGTTTATACAACACAACAATGCTATCATACATTGTACTTGTTTTAATAAAACTCTTTTAAATTCTAGCTGTGGCCTATTGGTAGGTCTTTATTTATCTGCAAACCTGAGAAAGAGACAGGCCTTCTGGACTGGGGCTGAGTCCAACCAGGTGGGAGAAGGTGCCCCTTGTAAGGATCCCTAAATATAAAATCACATGTAATCCACAAAACAAGGTGAAGGAGTCATTGCTTTTCTTTTTTAGGTGAAGAAATGAAATTCATCAAACATTTATCAGGGCCGGCCCGGTGGCGCACTGGAGAGTACGCCGCTTGAGAGTGCGGTGGCGCTCCCGCCGAGGGTTCGGATCCCATGTGGAGACCGGTTCCCGCTCACTGGCTGAGCGCGGTGCAGGCGCAACACCAAGGGTTGCGATCCCGTTACCGGTCAGTAAAAAAGACAAAAAGGAAAAAACAAACAAACAAACAAAAAAAAAAAACATTTATCAATCACTTCTTCTGTGCCAGGACCCCAAGATGAGTAAGAAACACCCTCTGCTTTTTAGGAACTCCCTCCCCATCAAGTGGGAGAGGTGGTGTTAACAACCATCACACATGCAGACTTCAAAAAGTATCTTAATAGATGTTCCCTGTAGCAGCCCAGCCCATCCACCACAAGCAGGAACAAATTTCCCTTCTGTCTAAAGCACTTTGAAGCCTTTATCATGGGTCTTTTATGTGCCCAGGACTTGCTTGTCCTGCCAGAGTTGGCAACAGAAAAAATTTGGGCCGCCTCTGCCCAGTCCTCATGTGCGTCACGCAGAGGACCTTCATGTATGTTGTCCCATGTGATCCCTTGAGCCAGGCTGGAGAAAGCTGTGGTAGGAACGACCTTTATAAGTTCCCAAGGAGCTGGCAAGAGGGAGATCTGAGTGTCAGGGCAGTGGCTGGGTGCTGGTGACAGCTTCTTCCCTTCGGGGATCAGAGAGGGGAGATGGGATTAGGGGCTCTTCACTCTGGGGGCAGGTAACGTGCCAGGCTACCAGCTGTCTTACGTTATGAATGCCTCCACATTGATGATGACATGCTTTTTGGTGACAATCTTGCTTTTGCAGTAACCTTACCACCTTCATATCCCTTCTTCACCTTCCTGGAGTAGGGTTGGCTGGAAAAACCGACCCTGCAGAATCAGACTTTTGGCCCAAAGTCTCCAGCCCCTGGGAGCCCAGATCCAGGATCTGAGTTCCGTCCCTAGACTAACCCCAGCCTGTCAGTCCTTCCCCAGGCTGGCCCAACAGCAGCATGACTTCAAGGGGCTTCCTGGATCGAGCACTCTCCACTCCTTGTCCTCCCACAGCTCTTCCCTCCATGCTGCTGAGCCTTTGCTCAAACTGCGCCCTCCTTCTCCCACTGTCCTAGTCCATGGGGTGAGACCTCTCTCACCCTCCACAGCTCTGCTTAAATGCTGCTGTGCCTATTTTGTTTTTACTGGCATTGTGCACTTACTAAGTAACAGGTACTTTCTAAGAAGTTTACAGGCATATCATTTAATTCTCACAGCAGTCCTATGGGGTATGTACTATTAGTTTAACCCACAACATGAAAAATCAAGCAGAGAAAGGAAAAATAGCTTGCCTGGGGCTGTACAGCTAGGAACAGTAGAACTGAAATTCCTTCCAGAGAGGCTTGGGACCCAGAGCCGTGCTGCCTGGGTTCAAATCCCAGCTCTGCCACTTACTGGCTTTGGGCCTTGTGGAAGTTACTTAATCTCTCAGAGTCTCTGTTCTTCAACTATAAATGGGGATGATAGCACCTACCTCACAGTGATGTTGTACAAGTTACAAATTAATAAATGTAAAGTGTTGAGGGCCATTCTAGGCACGCGTAGTAAGTGCTCCATAAACATTAGCTATTATCATTTTAGTTCTATTTGTGGTTGTCTCCTGGAGCAGAGTTATTCATCTCATGGTCCAGTGATGGAGACGAGCTCTTTTTTTTTTTTTTTTTTTTTTTTTAGCTCAGGGAGCCCTCCATGGAGGGGCTTATGTGGTATGGAGATGGCTCTGGGGCTTTCAGGATGAGCTGGGCCTCTGGCCCTCTGTGAGATCCTCCTGCTGACAGGCTGCTCTGCCCCTCTGGTCTGGAGTCCCTGTCCCAGAGGGGTCGCTGTGGGGTCAGGGACCCTGGGTTCTGGACCTGCCTGTGCCACCATTCACTGGGTGACCTTGGGAAGTCCTGGCTCTGTTGGGCAGAGCAGATGCACTGAAGGAGGCTCTGGAACCTCAGAGCCCTTTGCAGGCATGGGCCCTGCAATGGTGGAAGCCAGTTCTCCAGCTCTAGGGCTCGTGCTTGGGCTAGGCCTGAGAAGGAGAGAGCTGGAGTGTCTCAGACCTCAGGTGTCTTTCCTCAAATCCAGTTAGCAGGCCTTGGCCTTAGCCTCAGTCCTGGTTCAGTCGGACCCTTAAGACTACTATCTGAGGGCTTCTGGGCACAGGAATCAAGTCTTTGTGTCTCTGTGTGTCCACCTGCCTGAGCTCTGGGGTCTGCTCCTCCCTCTAGGCTGAGTGCCACTCCCAGACCCAGTCCATGGACAGCAGTCCTATGCCAGCTTGGTCCTATGCCAACTGCTCCAGATGCTTCAGGTCTGGAGGGGCCGAGAAGCAAGGTCCCCCTAAGGCTGGCACTCCCGTTGCCATGGTAGCAGTTGCCTTGGAAGCCACTTTCCTGACTTCAGCTTCCAAGCGGTCCAAGAAAGCCACTCGTCCATGCCCCCCTCCCACCACTGCCCTGGGGGAGTGGCAAATTAATCATGTTCCTTTCCAGGGTTCTCACCCCTCAGGAAAATAAGCAGAACCAGACTGAGCTGGGGCCTTTCCACCCACTCCTCCTCCCCATCCCCATGCCACACTAGGACTTGGTGCCTCTGAGAAGGAAGGAGCATAGGCGGATGAGAGATGCCACACCTATGGTCTGGCCACATCCTGGGTGCTGTGGCTCCAGGAGGACCCAGGCTTTGGCCAGGAGTGCTCTGATGCTTGTGAGGTGTGGGGTTGGTGGGCGCTTCAGCTTCCATCTCAGTGTCGCCCACAGAAAGAGGTTCCTTTAGCTCATTTACACATTACTGTAAGCACATCACCCAAAGACAAATGCATATTCTTTTTCAGAGATGATGTAGCCCATATTGAGGAAAGAATTGGCAAGCCTCCCTCTCTGCATTTGTAATCAGCAGACGAACAATGATCACAACTGCTTCAGGAGCCTTTAATGACGCTCTCCTGTCATGAGAGAAAGACACAGGCCTTGCTTGATTCTTCTGAACACAGTGTCTTCCTCTGATGCTGGGGTTGCCAATTCCTCCCACCCCAAATAAGACAACATAGGAATTTGGGGCAGAGATATGCTAGAGGACTTCCCAGCTGAGCAGGAACCTGGGCAGGAAGGTTCTATCAAGGGCTCTGGGACAATTCCTCCGCTTCCCTGTGTCTCGATTTCCCCACCTGTTCTATAAAGAAGCTGGGACAGCTGTGTGGTTCTGTGATCATGTAACTGAAAATGGCTTAATATGTCTCTCTCCACATGTCCTCCCTTGACTCCTTCTGTGCCCTGAGGGATTTACACCATCAAAGAAAAATGTGGTCTCCAGCTTTTGAAGGTCAGAGTGTTTTTTGGAATCTGAAACTCAGTGCACAGAAGTTCCTGGCTCCAGCCTCTGCCACCCCATCCCTATCCCATCCCCCAGAATAGGGAACTGGGCTCACGGAGGTGGAGGCTGTCCCAAGCACCACAGTGCAAGGTGGAAAACTGTCTTGCTGGTTGTGTGAGAGCCACCCTCAGCCGTAGACCACAAGAGGAGCCAGCATGGGCCCTGCCTGGTCCAGAGATACATAAACCCTTAAGGGGGTGTGGGAGGGCATTGTGGAAGGTGTTCAGATTCCCAAAGCTCAACCTCAGGAACACGTTTTCATGGACAATTTTATATTGGTGGCTCCTAAATCTAGTCAGTGGGGGCTCAATTACATGTGACAGATACATGGGCTGTCATTTGATGCCTAATTAGAGAAATAATCAGACCTCATTCTGATGGGAGGCACAGAGTATGTTGGCGGCAGCAGCAGCAGTGGCTGGGGACTGCCTGGCCCAGGGGCTTCCTCTATAGGGGAGCCAGGAACACGGCCATGTTCTGTGGTCACTCCACCTCTCTCTGGCTTCCTGGCAGTGTCTTCCTGGGCTGCAGCTCTGCTCAGGTGACCCTGGGCCCTTCTTAGGACTCCACTCCACACCCAAGGAAAGCCTCTTGTTAGAGTCGGAGGCTCCTTCGTGCCCACTGCTCTCCTCTTTGCCGACCTGAGGTGCAGGTCCAAGCCCTCTCCGTGCTCCCTATCCTTATGTCTGGAAGCCTAACCAAGGTCCCTTCTAGCCACGGCATTCTGTGGAGCTCACTCCTTGAACCTGTCCTCGAGGGTTTCTGTGGACTCACAGAGGAGAGAGCGAGCAAGGATGGATAGTGTGGGGCTGTGGGAGTGGTGGCAGGCAGCCCGCTGGCTCAGGCATGGTCAGGAAGAGCTTCATGGAGTTGGGGTTGGCCAAGCAGTGTCCTAAGGAGTGAAGAGGTATTCTCTAGACAGGCAGCTGCTCAGAGTAGGGAGGGCAGGAGAGAGGAGAGGAGAGGAGGGGAGGGGAGCGGCGAGGATCCGCCACCAGTGGAGACAGGAGACCTTGGGCCTGGCTATGTGAGAGTGCAGGCCTTGGGGGGATTAAGGGGGCATCCAAAGAGAGGCCAGGGGCTGGGGTGGTGGGAAGACTCTGTGCAGGTGCAGGCCTATAGGCCCAGGGCCATATTCTGGAGCTGGGAAGGCCCTGATCCACAAAGGGCTAGAGAATGCAATTCATGGTGAAGGCCAGAACTAGAGGCTGGGACAGGGGTCAGGGCTCGGCTGGGTTGGGTTACCGCTGTCCAGCCTTGGGTTGGATCCTGCAAACAGGTCACACAGGCTGGGTAGAGGAGCTCAGTCCAGAAGGGCAAAAAGTGCCAACCATGTCCCAGCCTCCTGCTCCCAGCCCCTGCAGGACCCTACCCCTCACATGTTCTCCTACTCCATACCCACCACCACCACTGCTCTTCCCTGTCAGCTCCCAGCCAGGGGCCCCCAGGGTGGCTGGAAGGGCTCACCCTCTCATTTCACTGGCAGCTAAAAGGGGGGTGGGTGCCAGCTTACCTGAGGAGAAGGGGATCCTCTGAGATGAAGCCTCACGCTAGGACCCGTCAGCCCCGTCTGGGAGCCCGGAGGTTGACAGAATGGTGGGAGGCGCAGGGAAGATAAGGCCAGAGGCAGAGAGTGGACTTGGAGGGATGCCTCTCCCTCTCCCTCTCCCCTTTCTGTTCCAGTCACAGTTCCTGTCTCGAGCCTTGTGCCGGTCTCCTTCCATGTCTCTATCTCTGAGACTCCAAACAGAGGCCCAGGTACACCTCTAGGCCAAAGGGCAGAGGACAGCAGTGTGGTCCCTGAGCATGTGACCAGGGGATCTCCTCACATCCCTGGCTTCTGAACCCCATGTGAAGCCACTAGCTCATTCCTCACACACCCTGCCCTCCTCCCCTACCTTCGAACCAACAGTGGAACCTGAGCTGACTGCCCATTGGCTTCCAGGACCCAGGCAGCAGCTCACATTGCAACCTCATGAATAACTCAGCACCTCCCTGTGCTGCCTGCATCTCTGAGGAACCCGTGTCCCCTGGACCAATCTCCTCCCTGCCCTCCGCCCCACCTCTCATTGCTCAGTGACAATTGAGCAGGCTCCAGGGAGCTAGAGCAGGATGTCCTGGCCAGGGGAGCTTGGGCTGAGCTCTCCTGGGTGGAGACTGGCAGGGGAGGACCCCACGGAGCAAGCCCAGCTCTCCAGAATTCTGGCAGCCAAAGCAGAAGTGTGGCCAGGCAGGAGCTCCAAGAGTGGGGAGGAAGAATAAGCTGGGGTAACCTGGTGGAGACCCCAGGTCAAGGTGGGGCTGGGGTCCCTTAGGAGAGCTGTGGGAGAGGGTTACAGATAAATCCAAGGGGTCCCAGCCCAGGATCTTACTGCCCACAAACTCCTACCCTGAGGGTAGAGCTCCAACAAGGGGACTTCCAAGAGGACAGAGACCTCCAGGACTTTTCTGGGGACAGGCCCCACCAGACAGAGGCAGTGCCCTGGGTAGGCCTGCATGGACATCCCCGTCAGCAGCAGAGACTTCCGCTGCCTGCAGCTGGCCTGTGTGGCCCTCAGCCTGGTGGCCGGGAGCATCATCATCGGCGTCTCCGTGTCCAAGGCTGCAGCTGCCATGGGTGGTATCTTTATTGGCGCTGCGGGTCTGGGTGAGCAGGAGCTGGGCTGGGTTAGGGCAGGGGAGATTCTGGAGGGGGAGCAGGGGCCTGGTCAGGTGCATGAGGAATGGAGGGAAGGGCTGGCCCGCAGCAGCTGGTTAGGAAGAAGGGAAGCCAGAGGTGTGCGCAAGGCAGCCATCGGGGGTGCAGGAAGGAAGACAAGGCTTGGGGTGAGGGTCCTGCTGGCAGTGAGGAGACCGCAGTGGGGAGCTGGCTGTCACACTCCTTTCTAGCTTTCCCTCTCTGGCTCCCAAGCCCCAAGCCCCGGGCTCTTGGGTTTGCGGTGGGATTCATCAGATGTCTGGGGCGTGTTGATTGGGGAAAGGTAAAAGAGGACAGCTCAGACAAATTCCTTTTCTTTCCCTGTTTGTCTCAGCAGCAGCTCTGTCCATCTGTCTGTCAGGCCAGGCCCACTGATATCCCTACAGTGATGCTGAGTGCCACCCCTCACCCCACCCCATCACCCTGGGCCAAAAGCAGAGCCAGAAGCCCCAGGCAGCGGGGCTCTGGGCATCTGCACCTGTGAATTCTGGCACAGACACTGGGTCTGGGGGACAGAAGCAGAAGTGGGCAGGGCACAACTCACTCTGCTGTTACCCACTCCCTTGTCTGGGTGGGAGAAGCATGCTGAGGAGCCCCCAGTCGAGCCCCAGGGTGCTAGGAGAGAGTGGGGCAGGGAAGAGTTGAGGGTGGCAGTGTCAGCTGGGCCCATTTCCAGCCAACTGAGAAAGGAAGGAAGCCTGCTCTTCAGCTGGGCAGGGTGGAGCCAGGAGCCTGGGGCCCTCACGGCCTTAGCCCCTTCCCCAGTTAGGCACTGCTTCCCTCCACCTCCAACCCAGCTGGGTGTGGGGGAGCCACCCCCAGCTCACAACAGCAGGCTCCCATTTGCACACCCACAGTCCCATTCCTGCACACGTATGCTCCTCTAATGCACACCCATATCCTCACAACCACCCCCAGGCTCACAGCCCACCCCCAGCCTCATGCGCCTTATGTACCTCACACACCCAGACCCCCTCATTATCACAGAACCCCTCTGTGTCTCTCTGCTCAGGGATCCTCATCTTGGCCTACCCCTTCCTGAAGGCTCGGTTCAACTTGGACCACATCCTGCCTACGATAGGTGAGTCCTCAGCCTGTCCCTGCCCCAGCAGACCCCTCTGCCAAGGACTTGGTATGTGAGTCTGCGACCCAGCACATAGCTGAGCTGAGCCCATGTGTGAGACTGCTCCTGGCTGTGTGTGTTGGCGCTGCTGTGTGTGTGTTGTCTGGTGTTGCCATGACTACAGTGTAACAGAATCCAGCCTGCTGCCTGTGCAAAGGTGCCTGGACCGGCTCAGAGCACCTAGGGAGTCCATCTCCCCCAAAGCCTCCCAGATCTCCAGATAACCCCCTCTTCATCCCTGTGCCCCATAAATACCCTCCATCTCCCCTAAGACCCCAAGATCTCTGTATAGCTCCCTACCTCATCTCATACAGACTCCCATCTCTGTCTATCCCATAGGGCTTTACATATCCCCAGTTCTCCCCAGGACCCCCACCTCCTCAAAAAATTTGCTATCTTCTCCTTCAAGGGCCTATTTCTTCTACCTCTCCCCAAATCAGACCAGATCATGTGGGAGACCTAAAGGAATGCAGTGGAGCAAAGACAGCAGCAGGGATGGAGATTAGACAGCAGGCAGGACCTCCCTTCCCAAGCTGTGCTTGATTTGGGTATAGCTCAGTAACCAGGGTTCATGGTGTGGTCTCATCCTGCAGGGAACCTGAGAATCCACCCCCGTCCAGGGCCAGATCATGGGGAGGGAAGAACCAGCACCAATGGCAATAAGGAAGGTAAGTTCCAGAAGTTCCAGGGTCCATCTTTCATCTTCCCTCTCTGGCTGAGCAGCTCTGTGGCGCCCAGAGAGAAGCCTTGAGATGCATGCGGAAGGGCTTCTCTGACACAGGGAGCCAGCGTGCTTGGGTAGGTCAGCGTGTTCAGCCAGCCTCTTCTCACTCCAAGCCAGGCTGATCCCCTCTTTTTTGTCCTCAGGGCTTCTCTGTTATGCACAGCATGGACTCTGGGATGGGGGAACCTCACGGTCCCTTCCCCTCCCATAGGTCCCATGCCCCAGTTTATTTTCCCACTCTCCTCTCCCACTGTGGAATCCAACTCTCAGAGCTGATTCCTGAAACTGGGCATCTCCTTGGTTCCCATCCCCACACACAATGGAAAATTTCGGGGCAGGAGTTTCTCAAAGATGACCCCAGTCCACAGTCTCTGCCACCAGTGGTAGGACACCTGACACTCAGCAAAAGGTCCCATTCCAGACACTGTTCCAAGCCCTTTACATATATTAACTCATTAAAGCCTCACAACAGCCAGATGAGGGAGGTACTATAATTTGCTTCATTTTGTACATGGGACAACTAAGGCACAGGGAGATGAAGTGACATGCTCACAATCTCACAGCTAGGAAGTGGTAGAGCCAGATCCCAAACCAGGCAGGCAGCTCCACAGTCCTGCCTCCACCCCACACTGTGCTGCCATCTTCCTGAAGAGCCATCCTGACCATGCTGCCTCTTAAAACTGGGCTGAAACTGCCCCAGGACTCCCCTCTCTCCCCATTCTATCCCAGCTCTACCCTGGGGTCACCGGGCACTTTGATCCCAGGTCCCTTTGGGCTCCTCTGACCCTGGCATCTCTATGGAGATCTGTCTACTCAGGCAGAGCCTGTCCCTGGTCTCTCCCCCAGGAGCCCGCAGCAGCCTGTCCACCGTGAGCAGGACCCTGGAGAAGTTGAAGCCAGGGAGCCGGGGGGCTGAGGACAGCTGAGGAGGGCTGAGGGACTGCCCCCTGCCTGCCCTCCCTGCCTGCTGCTACCCCTATCTCTGAGCCCTCCTGGGTTAGAAGATCCAAACCAGAGATGAACCAGGCCCTGAAGACACCAGAGTTGCATTCGCCCTGACCCAAGCTCTTCAAAATGGATTCCACAGGTGTGGGGCAGGGCCTGAAGCAGGGTGTCCCACGGGGCTCCCTTGTTTCAGGTTCATAGCCTGGCTTTTCTTTCTGGACTGCAGCTCAGCTTCATTCCCTTTTTGATCTACTGACTGATTTCTTTGGAATTTGTGGCCTAGGGCCCTGACCACCACCAGGCCCCAGTCCCTAACTTCATCCTGGAGACAGATGTGGACCACAGACCCACAGGAACCAGCTGAACCGCTCAGCCTCATGGCCTGGCCCTGGGTCTCTAGACTTCACTAGCCAAATAGAGGGGCTGGACCACATTCCTTTCAGAATATCAAAAACTTCTGGGCAATTCCTCAGGGACAGGCCCTGAGCAGCAGAGAGTGAGATGGGGGAACTTGAGGGGCTCCTGGTCCCTGGAAGAGAGAGATTCACAGAGGGACAGACACAAACAAAGTGATCACTGGTATGACAGGAGCCCAGGTGAGGTGCCAACCTGGCCAAAGCCCTGCCCTGAGACTCAGTGTTCAACTCCACCACTCGAGGCTTTTCGTGGTCTGGCTCCAGACAAGACCTCCAGCCTTCCCACTTCTTCCCCAACCTCTCGCTGCTCTCTGAACGAGGCAAACGCACTCCTGCCTCCAAGCTTTGGCTCGTGTTCTTGAAGCCTCTCCTTGCTGCCCTCTGCCTATCGGAACTCCCCATCTTTAAAGGCCCAGTTCAGAAAGCCCCTGGCCACATGCTCTTCTCATCCTCTTCCACCAGCCTCTCTCTCGACACCCTCCAGGGGACCTTGAAGTCTTCTGTCTCATAGAACAATTATTAAACCTTCTTAAACCTGCTGAATGTTGCCCCTTTTCCAGTCCCTAGCACTGGACAGGGCACACAGTAGGTGCTCAATAAATGTTAGTGGCTTAAATTTTTTTTTTCCTTTTTGTCTTTTTTACTGACCAGTAACGGGATCGCAACCCTTGGTGTTGCGCCCATACTGGGGACCGTTTTTTTCTTTTTTACTGACCGGTAACGGGATCGCAACCCTTGGTGTTGCGCCCATACTGGGGACCGGCAACGGGATCGCAACCCTCGGTGTTGCACCCGTACTGGGGACCGGCAATGGGATCGCAACCCTTGGTGTCGCACACGCACCGCGCTCAGCCAGTGAGCGGGAACCGGTCTCCACATGGGATCCGAACCCTCGGCAGGAGTGCCGCCGCGCTCCCAAGCGGCTCACTCTCCAGTGCGCCACCAGGCCGGCCCTAGTGGCTTAAATTTAATGGAAAAACAATTCCCTAGGCTTTTCCTGAAGAGCCACTTCAAGTCTCCATCTACCCACAGGGTTTGGGTGAGGAGACCCAGGTGTGTGTAGCTGTGCAGAAAACATTCCCCTCCCTCCACACCTGCACCCTCCAGGTGCAGCAGAGTTGTTTGGCCTCTACAGAGACACCTGCTCCATGTGGCCTCTGTCCTGGTTTGGTGAGCAGAAGACACGTAGGAATAGTCTCATTCTTCCAGGATTAGTGCAGATGACACCTCCTCCTGGAAGACTCCCCTGACTTCACTATGTTCCCACAGCCCCAGGGCTTCCCCCATCACAGCCGAATCACTCTGAGTGGTCCTTGTCTGGTTCCCCTCCTGCGAGTAAGAGCAGAGGCCCAGGCACACAGAAGGCACCCAATGGATGCTGGAAAACCACACCAAAAGCAGAGAGCCCCACTTCATTGTACAGATGGGAGACATGAAACCCCACAACAAAAAAGACTCATCAAGTTCCCCAGTGAAAGGTCGTGGAGCCAGGCCTTGCATCCAGGTCTCCTATCTCTCCCCACCCTGGGCTCTATCCTCCACTTCCTCTGCACAGGCCACAGGGGTCAACTCTCTGACCACAGTGTGACAGACCTCCGTAAAAGGCTGAATTTCACAAATGCCGGCCAGTTGTGGCGGCTGGTTCCTCCAGCTGTGGGAAGGCAACTTCCTCCCTCCTTGAATTTCCCTCCTCTCCACCTTCCTCCTGCCTGTTCCCTGCCCCTTCTCCTTTCCTTCCTCCTTTTCCTCAATATCATCAACAATAACTCAGGCCTGGTGGACCGTCTTTGATCAGTGCGGAAACCCTTCCTCCTATCATCTTCAGTCCTCACCTCAGTGCCCCAGAGAGATGCCCAAGGGTAGAGGGGGTGGGAGTGGAGGACGTGAAGCCCAAGCTGCGGAGGGGGAGCTTCCCCCCTACCCCTGCCCCCAGCAGCCCCTCCCAGCATGATCTCCCCTAGGCAGGGTTATAGTATCCCCATTGCCTGGCAGGGCCAGGCACAGAGGTGATCGAGGTGGAATAAATACATGAAGGAATGCACACTTAACAAGGCAAGAGCTCTATCCACTGAGTGTGTGTCCAAAGGACCCTTGAAAGTGGGTGGAGTTCTCAAGGCCTGGGCCTCTGGTTCAGGAGTGGTCCTTGTGGAGACACGTGCCTTCTCCCCCTCCAGGCTTTGAGGAAAGGTGAGGTTGGGCCAAGCTGGCAGGGGTGGTATGGTAGGTAGTGTGAGGGGGAAGTGCCCTCTCACCTCTGAGCAGCAACAGAACTTTCCAATATTTCACACAGGAGGGAGTGTGGACAGGGACAGGTCATTGGACCCAGCTTTCCAATAGCCCTGTTGCAACACCTGGACTATGGCTGTGCCCGCCCCAGGCTGGGTGCTGAGAACACAGCAGTGAGCCAAAGGCAGAGGGGGCTTGCTCCAGGCAGCTCGCTTGATGTCACATCCCTGCTGGGCCAACCTGGAGGAGGACTGCCCAGTCTGGGGCTGGAGTCTGGAGATAAGACTCACATGCTGGTTCTGTCCCCCAGGGACTGGGGTAAGAGGTTGTGAGGCCTTGAACTTCGGTTTCCTCACCGTAAATGGAAGATGATTGTCACACATCCCTAACAGGGCCACTATCAGGATGAAGACTGCCTGGCATATAGTCACACCAGGTAGGGTTCATGAATGGATGAGTGAATGAATGAAGGGGGCAGGTGGAGCAGATGCTCTTCCAGCTGAACTCCTCCAGAGTCTGAAAAGTCAGTACCTCAGACTTCCAGCCAGTCCTCTCTCCAACACAGTCCAGCCTGGAGCACTGGACTCAGCACTCCCTCCAGACCCCTCACCCCAACATGCGCTTGCAAATCCCACCAAGAGATGGAGTCACCCCTATACGGGCTCATGGTAGGATTGGTGGAGGTTGATTGGGGATGGGTGCCGAAAACAAGCCCCATCCCTGGAAAAATCTCCTTGCCCCCCACAGCTGCAGCCCCCCTGCAGGGCAGATGGAGAATCATTTGAGGCTGAAGGCAGAGCCAATGCGACCCGCACCCCTCCCCCTAGAGTGAGTTGCAATGTATCCATGCTGGGCTCTCGGAAAGTGGCAACGAGACCGAGACCGAGACCGAGTGGGCGGGCTAGGAGTTATTTGCAAGGGTGTCTGAAAACCGCGAAGCCTAGAGGAGTTGTTTCAGGTGCCGAGCCGGAGCGGGTCTGCGCGTCTCTGCCCTGCGCGCCGGGGCGGGGAGCCCAGGGTCCTGCGTCCCCACACACCACCTGCTGATGCGGGATCTCCAAGCAGCTCCGCCCCAGACCCCCGCCCCAGAAGCCCGGCCCACCCGCTCCAAGGCTGCGGGCGGCCGAGGGGGCTGGCCCCGCGCGCTCCCCTGGCGGCGGCCAGAGTCCTTCCCTCCCGCTGGCCGGAAGGGTCAGCCGGGTTGGGACAGGCAGGGGGAGTGTCCACCGACCCGCTCAGGCAAGAGGAGGCTACAGGAGTTGGGGGAGGCTGGAGGGAGGCGGACGGGTGAGAAGGGGCCACGTTAAGGAATGGAGAAGGTACTCCATCCAGCCCCGAATTCCAGGGGGAAAGGAGAAGTGCCCAGACCAGGGGTCAGGGACATGTAGCCTTGAGACCGAGTTCTAAGAAAAAAACAGAGGGACTGAGTTCTCAAAAAAAAAGACAGGACAGGGACGCAGGAGAAGGGGAGACACCCAGCGGGGCTAACTGCCTTGGGCCCCTCTGCACTACTCTGTCCCTCCTGCTCTTAACTCAATAGGAAGCTGCCATAGAATTCATCTCCACCCTCCACCTCCTACCCAAGGCCCAAAGTGAAGAGGGAACCTGAGAAGTGGGCACAGTGCAACTTCAAATCCAAGGGAGCGGTGAAGCCGGAAAGGCGGAAGACAGACATCAGGGGACCCTCTGAACAACACCTCCCTTTGCAACAAGAGTCACTGGGCACCTGGGGAGAGGCAGGCACCACCCCCACTCCCCCGCTGGGGATAGATACAGTGACAAACAAGGTAGACCTGCTTCTCGTCCTCAAGGGGGATAGTAGGGGTATGCAGACCTGGATACAGGGAGTCACGGTGCCGGTGCCGTGAGGAAGTCAGGACTTTGGAAGCCCAATTGGGAAGGCTGAAAGAAGGAAGGAAGGAAGGAGCCCGCATCCCAGCTGCACTCTGAAGGAAGAGCTGGGGTTAGGAGGTGAAGAGAAAGTGGAATCATGGCTCAGGCACAGGCACGCTTACCACCCTTGCTGAGTTTAGCTGCTAGAACAAAATCGAGACGGGCAACTGAGTGAGGACCCCAGGAGGAGAGATAATGGGGCGGAGCAGGGCAGTCGTGAGACCAGAGACGAGGGATGGATTCCAGAGATGCTGGGAGGGGAGAATCTGCAGGACTTGCAAAGGAAATGCATGGAGGGAAGCCTGAGGGAGGAGGAGGAGCTGAGGACCAAGCCCAGGTGTTCTGGCTGGGAGATACAGGTGTTCCTGTATCCCAGAGGAAGAAATGTTTCCAGAAGGGAGGGTTCAACAGGGCCAAAGCTGTGCAGAGGTCATGTTACCTAAGGGCTGAACAGTGTTCATTGAATTCAGCAAAGAGCCAGCTGGTGGCCTTGGTGAGAGCAGTCAGGAGCACGATGGGGCAGAAACCAGACTGGAGTGGACTGACTCTTGAGAAGGAAGAAGGTGAAGTGTACATAGCACTTTCAAGAAGTGGAGAGTGTTAGCTGGAGGCAGATGTGGGGTTAAAGGAGG